TACTCGAGTGCAATCTCGTTAAACTGGCGAGATCTCGCCCATTTGTAGACCGAGATCATTTTCGCTAAAAAAGGCCGTGATCTCGCGAGATCTCGCTGCATTCCCTATGCTTTACGTACTTAATTCGATTCGAAAGTATGCGATGTTGTCTAATAATTTATTTATTATTATTCAGTTTAAAAAGAGGAATAATAAAACAAAACCTTAAAAACATTAATCTTTATTTCAGGAAATACATTATATTCCTTAAATTACTGATAACCTACCATCGAGGTGTGGACAAGGTGATAAATAACGCCACTTTTAAAAGCTCATTCAAACTACCTACTAATTTTTGGCACAATTCCATACTACTTAATGTAATATAGTTTTCAAGACTGCAGACTATGGTTTGTTAGGAAAATCAATAATTATAATGCTCCTGAACAAGTTACCTTTCTAAATAGTATTTTTGAGATTGTACAGTCAATAAAACGTCAGATTACTACGAAAGGTCAATCGATTCTAAGACTATATTTGACAGTTAAGTTCAAAATTAATTGTAATAGTCAAGTTCAAAATGAGACTTTTTGTAATAACGTGCTTGCTTTAAATTGAAAGCGACCACTGCCAGAACAGCATTATGAAGTAAATACATTAAAAAAATAACCCCGAACAATTATTTCTTATATATTTAAAAAAAACAGCATTGACTTAAATCCTCTCCCTCTAACGTATGTAACGAGAATTTTGAAATATAAACATTTGTCTAATGAAGGGCTTTATTAAAACCTTAATATTATTCGCTACATTCTCATTACATACAAAAAAATTAAAGCAGTTTGAATTTTGAAAACATTCATTAGCAATTAAATTTGTATAAAAATAAAAGATTTTCTAAAAAAATTTGTAACTATGTATTTAAACTTTGATAGTTAATTATGAAAAAAAAATAGCCAAAAATTGTTCGCGTCAAAAGAAACCTTATTTAATTAATTAAAAGACAAATGGTATTTTCACGTTCAGTCAATGTTATTATGGGAGCTAAGTTTGGAGCTTTAAACCTTAATCTATTGAAGAACCACTACAGTTAAATATATATATACCGATTTTTTTTAATGCAACGTGCTCGCGTAGAAGTAGGTACAGTCAACAGTTGTGAGTTTTACTCCATTGCAATAAGAGTCATTATTATCATTAATTCAAGACGATCTACAGTGTACATATTGTACAAAAAAACAGGTACATAAACATTGGATAAGTACAATTTCAAGTATATCTATTTATTTATTATTATAAAAATATAATTCACATGAAAATAATCATCATTATTATATTATACAATATGCTCTATTAGAGATTTAAAATATGATTGTATGTATATTTTTATTTTCTTCAAAAGTCTCGAATGAGCTCATAAGTAGTAGTATTAATATATATAATATTATTTAAGTTATTGTTAAATTTGAAGCGGTTGGATTATTTATGTGGCATTTTATCAATATATACTAAGATAACACAGAGTCATTACAAGAAGCTATTTTAGCACCTAAACTACAGTTTTGACTAGATTTAGAGTTTTTTTTTTAAGATATGATGTATTGGCTGTAACAAATGCACAATAAATCGTCATTAGTACCAAGTACTTATATAGATAAGTAGATGGAATAATTAAGGTAAGTTTTTAATATATACAGTAAGAACTGTGACAAATATATAAAATTATGTTAATTACATTTTAAAGTTATATCACGAAGAACAAACTATAAATAATTTATTTTTGTCGCCATATTGCACATTTATAAGTATGTATAGATAATTTCATAACATCAAAATTATATGTTACATTCAGAATAACAGGAAATAAAATAATATCTTATTAACTGAATTCACATTTTCAAGAACATCTAAAATAATAAACATTATAATAATAATTATAAAAATCGTTGGATTCCACATTAATAAATAAACAAAGATATCATTATTAAAAATATAAACCTATACACAAGTAATTCAAATGAAGCTCGGAAGAGTAAACGAATATCCTTATAAATTTAGTTTAAATTCAACAAATCGATGGATGAAAAGCTAAAGTTGAAGGTACATTTTTTGAAGATATTGATTAAGTAATTACATATATGGAATTCGTAAATTTTGCCGATTTCAATGATCTATATAATTTAATATCGCTTAAACCAATTCTGATCAGTTAAATGTAATGTTTATTTTTTTCGATGACAACCTATTTATTTATTCATTAATGATTACTTATCAAAATATAGAAGCAATTAGATATTTTCAAGTACTTTATCAAAATGTATAGATTAAATGCAAAACATTTTCGCAAACATACATTTAAGATCTATTACACCTTCCTTTTAAATAATGTTGTCGTTAGATATAATTAGCTAATAATATACAATAAAAAACAAAACAATTTTTCATCATGCAAAATTATATATAACTTAATTGAACTAATTAATTATGAGACAATTGAAATTGAATTCCAACATAAATATTTAAATAAAGCAAAATAATTTCTTTTTTATTTTCAATAGTATATATATATATGGCAATCAAGATTTAAGGTAGGATTTGAGAAAAATAGAATTTAGCAGAAAATCTATTCGTATGTATATCATACTTTATTTATATATTTTTTTACATCTTACTCTATTTGTCTTAATCACAAAATATTTACTATAAGGGTAACTTGGTTCTAAAACTCCTGAACCAAAGTTTATAAATACTAAATAGAGACAAACAAGCATTTTCATTTTTGAAATATTAATTCTTATTAAAATTATCAATTCATTACTTCGTTGCATTTTTAATAAAGAAGGGTTTATGTTTATTCATGATTTTCATAGCTTAACTTCCGCTGTAAACGCCATAGAAGTATAGTACATTTTAAATATACTTTTTCTAATAGGCTACGTCACAAGAATTTCTTTTTTAAACAATGACAAAGCCAAATACAAATATTAAATTCATCATTTTGATTGGCCCAACACATTTTATAATTCATAATATCACTGTGATATAAAACGAATCCCATTATATCTGCTATGATTTGTGCTTCACCTACTAGGCATTCTTAAATATCTGGTATTTAAATTGATACATCTAACAGGTATTTAATCTATGATGAGAATATCTCTGTGACCTAGAAATTATCTTATTAACAGGAAACTAAGGGGTCTTATTCACGAAACGTTTTAATTTCGTTTGAAAGCTTACGTTTACATTTATTATTGTTTCTTTCAAACTATCCCTCATGATACGAATAATTACATTTTATAACAGCTATATTGTTAAAAGATTTGTTAATCTTGTAATTTATCTACATGATTGTAACCTTTAAGCTATGGAGTCTACTTTGCACCAACTGATATTAGAGTATAGCATAAAATTTTCGACTTTACCTACCGCATTATAAAGAGTATTATGGCGCGGATGTTGGTAACATATAAATATAAATTTACGAATTATTACTGATCCTAACTCATGCATTGTAAATAACCCCTTTTCAAGTTAAATATCTATAGGTACTCTTTAATTTGTGCATATTTGCAACAACGATAGGCATAATTGTAAATTACATATATTTTGTGTATATGGTGTACACAATACGGACCATTATTCCACTAAGAAACATCTCTCAAAATATATACCAAGTATAGTTTTATGTTTGATTATATACACACTAATGATATAACGAGTATTCTAAAGAATACATATAATACCAACGATATAACCAGTATTCTAGAGAATACATATTTATATTTTTTTGTGCTTATCTAGCGGCGATTTCACTAAATCCTTAACTTACATAAAGACTATATTTATTATCACAACAGTCGTTCTCTACGATACGAATGGTTTCGATATAATTCTCATATACATATATACAACGATTCATATTTTGAGCCATTGTTTAGCCATTTGAACACAATCCACCCTGTGTTCAAATTTTAAAAGCAACTTCGAAAACGTGAACTAAAGTTACGGTAACTAATTTTAACTGCCAAGAGATGGCGCTAAACTTATATTTTACAAATGAAATGTCCGTTATTGATGTTTATTAATCTCACTAAAACTCAAAAAAGATTCGGCAATTTTTCTTTTGAAATATATGTCGAAGTCGAAGAAAGGTTTAAAGGGTGCGAAAAATTTAAGAAATAATAAAGAATATAGTAAAGGCGACAATCTTATTTTCTACTGTCCATTCTCATTAGAGATTGAAAAATGAAGCTTATATAATATGAATGAACAGCAGAAACATGTTTATAATAAAACACTAATGAAATATTTTTAGCCAATCGTTATGTTCCAAATTTGCGTTCTCACAAGTTCGCCAGCGATCGGTTGATGACCCATAGCCAACAGACGTGCATGGTTCTATGATAGTAAACCTTAACGTAATGCATTAAATTTTATATTTTAGCTCTTGCTGTTCTTCGAGTTGACTAGCACCAACTCTTGACAGATAAAACTAATAAAATTTCAACGTTTAACTTTAAGAGGTTCCTTATAGTGCCAGTACTATTTCTTTTTACTCCCTCTTTTTGTACAAAATTAGAATACAAACCAATAAAGTCTACCAAATACAGTGTAATTTTCATTACACTCTTCGTCAGTTTACGTAAACATTTTTTCTTTAATTTGAATAACAAAAAAGAGCATTGTCCTTTTATTTCAGAATATAAATCTATGGCACTGGTTTTTAAAGTAATATCATAATTGACAGTCAAGTTGATTTTATAAAAACGTATCACATAATAACACGTTCGTCACACTGTAGCAAACTAAAAAAAATAAGTTAAAGTACAACCAACGACACGTCAGTTAATACCAAACTTTAATTTCAATTTATTGAAAGTTATGTTCAAAATCGATTGTAAAAATTTACTTGTAATGTTGAACGTGCTGCTATATGTACTTAATTAAAGCCTATTCCTAGTCCAGGCGATAAAACGGGGATTGACCTAAGTATTATGTTTAAGAACAAACTACTTATAACAAAACTGGGTTTACAAAGTATTCAAACTTAAATCCAACATCAAACCAATGGTATTTGATACCAATAAAATTATACTACAAAAATGTACTTAACATTCAGCAGACAATACGAAAACACTGGTAGTTTTTTGTAAAAAGTATTCATTATAGAGCCGGTGTAATACCATTGAACACAATCTACTCTGTCAACAGAGGTGTAAAGATCTGGATCAGTCGGTACCACAGAACCCAAACAGATCTGTACTGTGAACACAAAAAATCATCGAGCATAAATGTCAATTTTTAGGCCTGCACCTCTTAAGCGATTAAACTGTAAAACTGTAATTAGGACATTAACATTTCCGATATTTTGAACTTCATATAAATGTCGTCGTCCATTTATTACGTAAAAATACTTCGTAACAATTCTTTTTTTTAACTTCTTTTATGAGATGACAACAAAGTGAGCGAACGAACGCCAAACGTACATTGAATAAGATACCTCATTCTTAACAAATTGGCTTCGAGTGGTCCTTATATTATAAATGTAAGATTTATCATTATATATATGTTTGATGTCATTCATTTTTATACAAGTTGTAAGGTTCATTAAGTACCCTAATAATTTTTTCGTTTGATTTTCCTATGCGTATACATGTGAAGGGTTACAATTTTGATAAATATAACTGTAGGTACACTGTTAATTTGTTGTTATCACTTGTTACGTTCATCTTAAATAAATAAATAACCGTTCGATTTTTATTTTTCTTACACATGAAAAATCGTCGTACATAATAGATGAAATACACTTCATTTCTCGCTAAAAAGTAAAACATATTGCATTATCTTCGGTTACTCTAACTGGTTGTGTTTCGTGGTCGTTGCGTATAACGTAATAGTGGTAGGTATACACTAATGCGGCCGTACACCGTGCATGCGCAGGAACGAGTGCAGGTCGCGCGGTACCGAGGCGGGGCGGTACCGTGCGCCTGACAGCGCCATAGCGGCGGCCGCCAGGCACGCGAGTCGCGGCCTTATAGCGGCGCGGATTACGGACTCCGCTGGCCCTAACATTACATATAATTATATTCATAACGTACACATATAAATATTATAATATACTTGTATATGTTAAAAAAAAATATGAGTAGCTCGGTGGCGTAGTGGACAAGCGCCGCGGCCCGCGATCGTTGTCGTTAAGCAACTTTCGCAAGGGTCGGGATGGGTGACGAAAAAAAAATATTATCTCGAGATATTCCGTGCTTCGGAAGGCACGTTAAGCCGTTGGTCCCGGTTGCATCAGCAGTCGCATTGGGCCAGCGTGGAGGGTCTAGGCCCATCCTCCTCTACCATCCATTAGGAAGGCCTGAGCCCCTGCAGTGGGGACATAAAAGGGCTGATGATGATGATGATGTTAAAAATATACACTATAAAATAGATGACTATCGTAGGCAAGTGCCTCGCAAGGTTGCAATGTGTCGTCATCTTAAAGGTTTTGATTACTGGTCGGGTCATTAATTAACTTTCTATTTTGTCTCTGACCTCGGGTGTTGTGGTACTTTCATTGTTTCAGATACTCTGTTATTCGATTTATAATAATTACGTATCTGACTACGACTTAGGATAGATGTTGCAGGGGCAACGTCATACCATGGCTAGTCTGTTTCCAGTCACATTATACACAGACCAAAAAAAATCAACTTTTAATTTCAAGATAGTCATGTGATTTTATGAATCAAAATCAGTTTTTTTCGTGGCTCATTTTTCACTACCGAATCCAGCCTATTTATATTAAAATACACTAAATACTATTTATTTAAAACTTCATGTAGAAAATATTACGAAAATAATCGTATCAATATTTTTTTTTGTGGATACAGACACTCCATTATTATATCTTTAAACTAGCTTTCCGCTAGCGACTTTGCCCCAGTGGTCCTTGTATTTTACATACAAACCTTTCTCTTAAATCACTCTATAAACCGTATTGAAATCCGTTGTATACTTTAAAAAATATCAGCGTACAGACAGCGGAAATCGACTTAGTTTTATACATGTACTGACTTTCCGCCAGCGGCTTCGCCTGCGTGGTTCCCAGGGAACTGTTTATTTGGATATCAATTAATATCATGACACGGATAATAATTACAATGACAGTTTGTATAATATTTACTATAGCAACGTAATTATTCCCTATAGAAATTTCCACTCTCATTTTGATAACTTATTAGCTGGTTTTCGGGATAAAATATAGCCTTATGTCACCGCATATTATGTAGCTACCCGTAGGTGAAAAAAAAAAATCGGTCCAGTAGTTTCGGATCCTATTTAATGCAAACAAATAAACCAACCATCAAATTATTCCTCTTTATAATATTTGTATAGATATAGAATAGATACCTCCTATGGCGGCCACTAGCGGCGTTATCCCGTCCGCATCCATGGCGTCCACGTGCGCGCCACGTGACAGCAACTCGCAGACCACCGCGCATAAAGACTCGCTCCACTGTTCTCTCTCATCTAACAAACATATTATTTTAAAAGACAATATAATTATTATTTTTGATCAATTTTGCATTCATAATGCTGTACTGAAATATATTCTTATTAAAATATGAAAAATATCATCATAACAGCCCATAACAGTCCACTGCAGGACTAAAGGCCTCCTTAGAAGGGTTTTGCCACAATCTCCACTGCCCATTCTCTGCTCAGTGTATAATCCCTTTGTCGGCTCTTACAATACCCACGGGAAGAGTAGGGGTGGTGACAGTTGTATTCTATCCAGCCGTCACCACATGGCAAACGAAAATATACCAGTATATATTTATAGTGTTTTAAACTTTCATGGTCATTTCCATTAGAAACAATAAATACACAGACATAGTAAACAGTGGTAAAAGTATAGAACATAAAAGTACCAATATCTATAAAAACGCCAAATATAGCGTTTGTTGTATAGGAAGCTTCATAAAAGATTTATTTTATTCAGATTTTATATTATTTGTTATTGTTGTTTTATATTATTTGTTCACTGGTTTATGAAATAAGCCTGGGTTCAGACATACGACTCAAGTATCAAGGTACACACGTCAGAATATACATTGCGGAATTTGCACCGACCGCAATTCGTATACAACTTCCCTTCCTAGATAAAGTATTACTTTAAGTTTATGCAACTCTTTATAAAAAAAATAAAAAACATTTTTTCATTGTACAATACCTTTTAAGAGACTTCGCAGTCTACTAAGGGGCTTCCAGCTTCTAGGGACCACCGGCTAGGAACTACTGTAGTAGAGCAAGAGACATAAACAGCGCTAGTAAATAAGTAATACTTGCCTGGTATAAGCTGATAGGATATCAAGGCGACGTGTAACGGCGTCCGCCTCGTGTCGTCCGATGCGTCCACATCTAGGCCACATTCTAGAAGTAACCGCGTCGTTCTCATACAAGGAAACCTATAGAAAAGTACGTTCGGATGAATTTGTGTCCATCCAGGGCCAATGTTTTGCTTAAGGTGACAAGTTACATTGAGCCGGCGCTGCCCACATCTCTTGTTATGTAATGTTTTGTTATGTTATGTAAAAGGGTTTAGCCGGATACGTATGACGAGTCGGCCCCCAAATGGGAATCGATATTGAAACTTATGTTTTAATATCGACTTGATGTTCAAACACGATTTATGTACTTTTCGCGACCGACTTCCGCTTTGACCTTGAGATAGAGAGCAAAATATCCGTATGCTTGACTATTACTGAATGTGATATATCTCTAAAGCTAATTAAGATAAAGAAGTGAAACTAACGCGAGGTGTTAGGTTATATTACAGAGTATATCACATATATTTTTTTATAATTTTTAGAATAAAAAAATACATTAAAAAAATAAAAAATAAAAAAATCATGTTTTTTTTCTGAGTTCTCTGTGACTTACAATCACGAAATTAATATATGTTATGCTCCTTTGTGTGCTCTATTACCCATAAAAAATGCGTGAAAAAAAAGTTGGTGCAACACAACGAAAAAAAATTATATGTGATTTCTGTCTTATGGTATACCCCTGTATTATAAGGTTTTCACATTACATCATTGTTTTTTTTTTCGAAATTTCACTTCAGCTTGTTTTAAAACATAAGTAACTAGTCTTAAGAGATGGGATAATAGTTAAAAAAGAAATGAAAAAAAAAACAGCCAGTGTTCAATACTCATTATTATTACTTTTTCGTGTCTATCAAAATACAAGAAACAAAATATTAATCATCGTCACTGTTGTAATTAATTACAATCGGAACACTTTGAGTCGCAAATAACTTAGTTAGGACCTCAGCAGGACGTACGATTTTGGACAAATATCATCGATATGATAGATAATAAATAATAGCTGCTACATGAGAACAGCATCCCACTGTACGTTTGCCATTGGGGCAATCACAGCAATAACGAAGAATACTATTGTAGTCATTACCTTCGGAAATATAGTGAATGTAAATTCGATAGACTTTTCTATTTATATGTCTTGATTTTACTTCTGCTTTGATGATATTAGGTGCTGATTTCACATATTGTACTGAGAGATTATTTTGATCGTCCATTATTTCGGCCAAGTTAAATGCTACACATTTAGAAGTAGAAGCTTTTTTTATTTAATATATGGGATAAGTCGACACTTCTTACAAAAAATATCATTAACTATAACGATTTTATTCAAACAGTCACTAAACACTTTAGCTTCTTCTTCATTCTTTATAATTTTTTTATAACCTCCTGGTTATCTTGGTTATCCTGGTCTCCTGGAATCTTACACAGGTACTTGTTACAATTTTTACACTTTCTCGACATTATTACTTAATAATGATTTGGTTCGATAGTTAATAATTTCAAAATGCTGATACAAAATACCTATGACAGAATTTGAGTCCCAAACTGCCTTCTTGTGTAATACAAATGACTGCTACTTTAGCTAAACAAACGATGCAGTAAACAGCTCGATAACAAGTTCGAACTTGTTTGTTTATACACTCACACTACAAGGCGCGAATCACATATAATTTTTTTCCGTTGTGTTGCACCAACTTTTTTTTCACGCAATTTTTATGGGTGATAGAGCACACAAAGGAGCATAACATATATTAATTTCGTGATTGTAAGTCACAGAGGAGTCAGAAAAAAAACATGATATTTTTTATTTTTATTTTTTTAAATGTAATTTTTTATTCTAAAAATTATAAAAAAATATATGTGATATACTCTGTAATGTAACCTGACACCTCGCGTTAGTTTCACTTCTTTATCTTAATTAGCTTCAGAGATATATCACATTCCGTAATAGTCAAGCATACGGATATTTTGCTCTCTATCTCAAGGTCAAAGCGGAAGTCGGTCGCGAAAAGTACATAAATCGTGTTTGAACATCAAGTCGATATTAAAACATAAGTTTCAATATCGATTCCCATTTGGGGGCCGACTCGTCATACGTATCCGGCTAAACCCTTTTGTCCTAAATTGGCATAATAGAGAATGTTACCTTATCTATTAAGTAAACGTATCTAATGTTTTCCTGAGATATCCGGAATCATTATATGTGTAGTACCAGGAAGGAATTATTTGGATTTTAGCTATCCCCTGAGATAAAATAATAGGTAAGTTGTATTGTTAGGTAAAACTCTTTATTTATTTATTTTTGTCTTCGGTATCCGAAATCTATGTTGAGAGATGTGTTTGATTTCTCCTAGAACCCTTTTTAATGATGCTATAACGTGTACGTATATATGGGACCGAAAGATATTATAATATTGTAATTATTAATAAAATACACAATCTACACACCATTAACATTGCCTAAAAGTACAAAGACAATGAGACAATTTACTTGAATCCCATTTTAATTAGTTTGTTTGTGATTTGTTAGTTTTTAATAGTATGTCTTAGTTTCCAAATCCCCATACAGAATATCTGATCGATGATATAGTTTTCTAAACAGTTTAATGAGGAAACTGTCAAACGTTCTGAGAGGGACGCCTTAATACCTGCTTCCCGAAGCGTAGATCTAATCTATCGTCCGAGGATAGAATGATAAAATTGTCCGTCACACAAAACAAAATATAAAATCAACTCAATACTACTACTGTGTTATGTAGTGTCGTTTGATATAATTCTGTGGTGTAATATAATATTTTGTAATGCTGTGTAATGTATTGTGATGTTATGTATATATCGTGACGTTGTGTAATAAATTGTAGTGTTGTGTATACTGACTGGCAGACATCACTAGTGTGGAAGTCATCAACAGGCGTCCGTCTATCTGCGGCGAGATGCAGCAATGTCTGTCCGCATCTGAGCCGCGCGTTTCTCAGTCTAAACACAGCGCGTCTCACTGAACATGTTGTCTCCTATAACAAAAATATGTATAAATATTATATTTAATCAATTTTGCACTCACAAAAGGTTCTCTGAGATATATATATATACATATATATATGTGTATGTATATAGTAAAGTAAAACTGATAATCAATACAGGCGTAGAGAATAAACGAAAATAAATACATTTTTTTTTTTGTAGTGTTTAATATACTATTACCGATAATCACACTTTTATGATTATTATATTTATAATATTGCATAAATTAATTATGATAAACAACCATTTTATACTCGTTGTCACGTGACCGCAAACAGCGCGTCACGTCACGCTCTTTTTACTCATATTTACTGAATGTAGAGAATTCAAATATCACAAGAGGGAGGGGGTGTAGTAATATATAAGTCATGAGGGATGTCTGAACTTCATAAAACTTTAAATAAAATTAAATAATGTTCTCAAGGAACAAGTTGAAGCTACCATCTACTAAGAACACCCTTTAACAATGGACTTTAATACGTCAAGTTAAGGTTCACTCGTAGTAAAACTGGCGATAGTCGAAGCTTGTCACGTAAACATCAACCAATAACAAACACGGCACACAGAACGTTAACTTACGATTGGATTCCAAAACTGAATATAAAGATGCATTACTTTACGGGGTAGAACCGATTGTAAAGATATTTTTTTTTTACATTTATGAGAATAATCGGTTATATTGAACAGTACTCACTTCGGTATTCTCCGGATTTTCTAATAACCTGGCAGCCACGGCTACCAAATACAGGGCGGTGCGTATGTTGCTCTCGTACTCCTCCTGGAAGCAGAATTTGCGAGCCAAGCTCTTCGCGTCAGTGCTCACGACCGAACTATGAAAAACACACATGCATATCGAAACAGCAATTTTTAATCGTCTAACATTTTACATGCGTAGTCGTTCATTTAATAAAACAATTATTGCCCTGTCTATATTCATGTTATAGATTGATAAAGTGATCTGTTTGTCTGTTTGCATTGAATAAGCTTCGAAACTACTAGACCGATTTAAATTCTTTCACCTACGGAAAACTTTATTATACGTGGATGACGTAGCTATAATTTACGTTGGCGATGTGGCGGGAAACAACAAATAAAAAATAAATGTTGTGACCAAGGAGCCCTCAAATATCAACAAACCATCCAATATACCTCGTGTGTTCATCAGTTTTAAGACAAATTTTTTACTTAATTTTTTTACCGATTTTGAATTTGGAATGTTAAATTTTTCCTCTCCATTTCTGCCAACATGGTATCAAGATGAAAGCGAAGAATATCAGAGTGGTGACATTTTAGAGCCCGTGGTGAAGACTCTGTCTGATACGTTATTTCATAATAAGGATTGGATATTTCAGCAAGACTCTGCGCCATCCCATAAGGTAAAAAGCACCCGAGCTTAGTTGAGGGAGAATGTGCCGGTCTTCATCACGGCGGACAAGTGGCCTTCCTCCAGCCCCGACCTCAACCCGCTGGATTATTTTTAATGGACTGAATTAGAGTTCAGGGCCTGCCGGAAGTGCACCCAAACTTGAAGTCGCTGAAGCGAATCCTTGATCGAAAAACAAAGCAAATTCCGCTAGAAAAGATTCGTGCCGCCATTGATGACTGGACAAATCGTCTAAGGGCCTGTATTAAAAACAAGGGCAGTCATTTTGATTAAAATATATGTTTATGACTATTTAAGTTAATTATTAAAAAGTTTACGCAACTTTTATTTCATCTTAAAACTTATGAATGAACACACGAGGTAATATTAAAAATTAATAAATCATTGCCGACCTATTAATGTACCCCACCACTGGAGCGTAGGACTTCCTTGTGGACAAAATCTATAAAAGTACCTAGAATAGATAGATCAAGGATGCCACGCTAAATTTTATCTCTCAAATAAAAAGAGAGAAGATCGCGGAAGTCTATCTGACTCACTCTACGCACGTATGCGCAGCGAAAAGAGTATGCAAAAGATCGATTCAACGGTTTCTATATAACTTTCCTTTACTGTGTATGCTTCAATAGAGAGCGACAGATTGGATACCGTAATCTTGTCTCTGTTTCTAACCGAGGGACGTTTCTGTTTACAAACAGCCGTATGTGTTTCTTACCTATCCTTTGCCTTTACGATAGAATCACATTAGGAGAATGAAACATAGTCCACCACGCCCAGTGCTGATTGGTGAATGTTAGTATCTTTAGATGCAGCCGGGCTTAACGTGCCTTCAGAAGTAAGGAATAGCTAGCGCTAATAAATTATGACACCCTAAATTCCCTTCAAATTGTTTTATTAAATGAGCGTTTATTTTTCATAACATCGATATATAGGAATTATTTTTCAAATTTACAAAATCATAATAATACGAGGGACAATCTAACGATGTTCTTTTATTTTGCATTGTGAAATTGAAATTTAGTGCTTTAGCATCAAGGCTACATCGGTCGACAACAAATACATGATACAGCACATGCCGATAATCACAGGCGGGATGACAGCTAATGGTTCATTTAGATTGATAATCGGTAATTAGTTTATAAAACAATGAAATAAGCCACAGATGTCGTCCGTGCTCCGCATGCAGGCCCAGTCGAACAATTAGCTACTTGACAGTTATAAAAATAAATTAAGCAAGCGTAACTTAAATATTCTTACAACAATGTAGTATTTTAAATTGTAAGTATATTTTATTTTTGCACAATTACATTGTAATTTATGATCTGAATACAGGAACCGAAACTCGAGCGGCCATGACGGAGTATCATGTGACGTCACATTTCAATTCAACGGTGACGTTTACAACAACAAGCTTCTTTCTTGCGAGTGCAACCAGTACTCAATGGTTATTAAAATGTGACATCTCGACTCGAAATGTCTCGTGACTGATTGTTTTCGCGGGAGAATTTAAATTAATTAATAAAAATATGTTTCTTCTCTATTTAATAACTTTACAAAAAATAATCTTATTTATAGTGGCTTATTGATCATCAGCTAGTGGTCTTTATTTATTAGTATACATATAAATTTATGTATTAGTACACATATAACTAGAACATGTATTTTTTTACGCGTTGTGTTATATAGAGGTGACCATATAATTAAGAACGCTCCGTTGAAAAGTTGAAAATAGTATATTTACTTAAAAAAGAACATATTTCTACATTGGTAGTTTCTTCTATAATTTAGATATAATAAACCACGAATAAAAAAAATATATAAATTACGCAAACATAAAATCTAATCCAAGGATAACTTCTTACTGGCTGGTCTTATAATTAAGAACATAAACCTTTTATTTTTTTATTCAAATTCAAACAAAGAACACTCTATGGTTATACTAGTTTCTCATAAAACTAGCGACATTAAGTAGTGTAAACACAATTGAAACATAATTTTTCAAAATAATAATATGAAAAAACAAAGCTTGCGACCAATCAACAATGGAGATTATTTAAAACTTTGGGAGAAGAATTGGTCTTATAAAAAAATATCTGACCATCTACAATGTACGAAAATCATGATCTTAAATGCTGTGAAACATTTTAAGACTTATAACAGTACTTTAAATATTCCGCGCATGCCACGACCGAGAAAATCATCTCTTCGATACGACAGAAACATCATTTATATCCTTTCTAAGGGTCTAACGAGATACGAATGGAATACTTTGGCGAAGGAAACCACTCTGCGATCTCGGCACGCACTATTCGAATGCACTTAGTAGAAGAAAAGTTATACGGCAGAATAAAGTCACCTTATGTGGTCATCGATAATCATCGGTCATCGGTAATTTAAACATTTTACCAACAGCTTAAGAGCATCGTTTCTAATTATTTGTCCAGCTTCATTATCATACACTATAATACTGTCCACAAATATATTTTTACAAATACCGTTACTAATTTTATATGTCTATCCTAGTTTAGTTTATCTTAACTAATTGGCTCTCTAAATACGTAAGTAAATACTTACAAAAAGTAATCATAAAAAATAGGTCAAGTTTCATTTAAATCAGTCTACAACTACAAATCGTTCCTAATTATATGGCCACCAATGTATATAAGTATATATTAAATGTCTGTATATTCTTGTTGATAAATCTATATTTTTATTGTTCACCTTACTCGCATTGATTCCCCATATCATTCTAACTTTTTGGTTGACTGGTAGAGAATAACTATGGCATTAATTTAGCCATTAGACTTTAAATGTGCAATAAAAATAAATGAATATTAAAGTTTCAAAATAATTTCCCTAATAAAAGGCCAATATAAATAAATTATTTTCCCGCCGGCGAGTGTTTTATTAAAAAAATATCTTTGCCAGACTACCGAGCGCACATCGTATGAATGAATGAATATGAAAATGCGCCTTCATTCTTTAATCTGCGTCATAAATGAAGAGGCCAAATTAGATAATGGTGCCAATTCTTTTGTACCACTTTTCATACTGTACACTCATCTACTTATGTAACGTTATTCTGCAATTACAAGTAATCAAAGAAATATGCTCTTGTAATGAAAGTGGCGTGTAATAATTAGTATTATGGAATAAATTTAATAAAAGAATTATGGAGTAATATGTATTATAATTTATGAAAAGTTAGATAATTAAATTTACCACCAGACACAACATGAAGAATTATCCATTCTTACTGTATAATCATTCAAATTATCCTTGACTTTAATTAAAAGCTAATATAGATAAAATAGATAAGGATTCTAGTAAATCTGATTGATCATTAACGTTTTCCAGATTTAGTGATAAATAAAAAATCTGATGTCAGTCTGTTGCAAAAGGTAAATAATAAAGAAAAACTGCTTTGAAATCAAAACGTATTCTTTAAAGAAAGAGTTAGTTTCCGTTTTGCAATAAATTTATATATATTCGCACTCAGACCAAATAAAAAGTAAAGACGGAGTTTACTGAATAACAAAGTGAAGCCGTTTTTTAGCAATTGTAGTGTGCGTGCCAGTGTGACCATCATCATTAAAAACACTCCAATAACTTAACGTTACGATGTTATAGAGTTAACATTTACGCTATGCTATTTAATAATATAATGTAAATTCGTTTGTCAATATCAGCATAGATATTCTAAAATCTTTAAGAGTAGGTAATTATTATTGGAGGCAAACATTAGGGAGACTATTTAATTAATTTTTAAGTTAAGTTTTAAAACTTCCACTATGTTAACTAAAATTTTCATATACAGAAAGTTTGAAACCTTTGGATATGAGTTTTGCTTTATTCGACGTAACCCTTTTATAGTATAATAGGTACATATCATCACTCTTAAAATGAGACGAACAAACTACGTTGGATTCCATGAAGGTTCATTTCGACTATTACGAATGACTGAAATCAACTTCTCTTTCACATTTTGATATCGGTTTGGAAATGAAAAAATATATGCAAACCCGTTTAGTAACAATAAAGAAGTAAAAAATTAAACCCGTTTTTTTATTTTTTACTTCCTTATAATAACACTTAGATATCTGTGATCTGGACCTCTATGTAGCATTTTAAATGCAAAATTTATTAAAAATCATTTCCATACAACAAGAAAAAAATACATAACGTAATTTGTGTTATGTTAAAAATAACGCGTTATAAAATTAAAGTTACCTGATTTCGGGGTAAATAATAACGTTTAACGATGGTAATATTTGGCTGAGGTTTCGTGTTCCAAGCAATTACCGAAATTTAATTTTTAAATTACTGAAAATGTAAGTTTTCTCCAATACTTATGTGTGAAATGTGATTCCATCCTACCTTTTATTTTTTGAGGATTGGTTTTTACAACCTTTTACTACACAATTCGGCAGTAAGTAAGAAATTTTTGATTTTTTTTATAATGAAACGTTCCGCACGCTGTCTTTAGTTAGACTGATAAGGAAGGCGTAGTTTCGTTATGTATGTGTGCGTGAAACTGTGTACGAATACGCCGAGGCGTAGTTTTGTCGGCTTCACTTTTCTGTTAGACGAAACTCCGTCTATACTTTTTATTTGGTCTGAATATTCGCATCTAATTCCCAGGTTAAACAAGAGTAGTTTCTTAAGCCAGGATAATAACCTCATTTGCTAGTAATTTAGCAGGTTAGTAAATTAGTGCCTCTATGAATATGACACATCTATAATTACTGTTTAAATAAGAAATGATACATGAAAAACATTATTTGACATTTAATAGCATATTTTTTCATACATAAAAAAATATTAAAGACTTAAGACTTGTTAACATTATTACGTACACATGCAAGAAAAATCCTACTTTCTCAGATTTTGTCCCTCAATCGATTTAATTACAAACTTTATCAATATTTCATTAAGTACTACTTTCGCACATCAAAAAAAGCATCTACGATAAAAGAGCATAAAAGTTAATTTACATACTAATAAAGCGTCTGGGTCGTGATTAGTCTGTGGTTTTTCTAGTCTCTCTGTTCCTCTCCTCAACTCTTCAGCACAAGCTTCCAACACATAGCAAACCTAAAATAAAATATAAAAACTAAAAGTAGATACAATTATTATCTACATATACGACACTTACAAGATTACTACAAAAGGTCATATGCAATCAATTTTAAACTTTACTGTCAATTATTTAGAAATTATAATAACTTGGTAAAAATTTTGCTTTTCGTAATAACCTGGCATGTTGCCTCTCAAAAATTAAACTGTATAATTTCTAGCTTCTGTAATAAAATGCCAGAAGACTTGGAAGATAATCATAACTACTAGTACATATTTTGTTGGGTGACTTGTTGTGGACGGATAAACTATCACAGTTTATGAGTCGAGTCATATATATATATTTTTGATTAACAAATATGTAATAATAATAAACTTTTAGGACCTACGAATTTTCCAATAAAATATGCACGCGATTTTAGCACGTACCTGAGCGAGCGGCAGCTCTATTCCAATGTGAATCATCTGTGAGAATACTTGAGCAAATCTGAGCAAATCCTTCACAACAGACACCTAGACAGAGAGAGAAAATCTATATTATGACAAATCAGTATCGGCACACTTTCTGTTCAAAGTTAATCGATTATGTACCTTTAATAATCGTATTCTTAAATCCACTAAATAGGTAGTTTTTATTTTCTGCGTTAAAAATATAAATTATTATATACCTACTATGTTTGTTCATTATGATCTTATTTAAGTCACTAGCATGTTTCCTATTCTAAACATGAAACTACTCTGGGTCTCATTGTTTCTAGGCAATCGTTTGTGTGCCTTAATGAATCTTCTGAACTCCCACTTAACAGGCTGTTTCTAAATTTTGCATTAAAAATGTAAATTATGTCCATTGCCATTTTAAATTTATCAATTCCCTTGTGTGTGTTTCATATTCTAACATGAAACGACACTGGGGCAGTTTTGGGCCGTCTCCATTAGCCTGCAAGACTTGACTCTCTAACACAACTTGAACTAAATATGGCAAGTAAAAAAAGAATAAAGCTTGTAACAATATAGTAAGTACTGACCGAGTTGTGTTGCCGCAACAACAACGCGTGCCTCCATAGAGCTAAGCAGCGATCAAAACGGGCCTCGTCAGCGAACACCGCGCCACGAAACACAACCGGATGCGGCAAATCCGGGCACGTGCGCCCGAGCACGCGCTCGCGCACCGCCAGACCCTCCATGTGCAAGCCGTGCGCGTCACCAGACAGACGCTCCACCTCCTGCATAACCCATAACCCATCCCACGATCACGTGCCGCCATGCTCGACTACCATAGTCTTTTCCATACATAGCATGGGTACAGTGACGTTTAGAATGTGAAGTCATACATAGTTATATATTCTTCAGTTTTAGAGATGTGATAATATATATATATGGATTGATTTGAAGTCAATGTATATAATATAGATTATGAAGTCAATATATAAAACAGGATTAAAGAAAAATATTTATTCGTCAATAAGATGAAGCCAATTAAGAAAAATACAGTTAAATTTAATTGTTACGAAAACAACAATTAAATAAATGTCAAATGCTTGCCGAATACATATGATGATTAAAACGATTTTATTGATTCAATCCCTATTAAAAAAACGTTCCAAGTTTTGTTACAAATATTGATATTTTAAACTTTAGGGAGTTGGGTTTTAGTAAAAATGGTTTTTGAAATTTTATTTATATTTTAATATGCAAATTTAAACAAATATCTAATATATACAGTCAAACTTTTTTTTTATAAAGATGGTTTTTAATTATTTAAAAATACATACTGCGTGAAATGGATTTGTTAACAAACGTCACCGTACCTATGCTATGTATAACGATAGTCCGTTTCACATAGTATTTCACTCGTGCAAATTAAAATGACGTAGTCTATTACTCCAAAATTCGTCTCTTTTCGTAATGCTAATACGATATGCTAAATGCGACGGAGGTGGGACCTGACACTGCCTCTGATGCGCAGATAATCTTGACGGAGATGATTTTAACAAAATAATAAGAACTAATCGAAATTTTCTAAATTTCTTTCGAAGATAAATAGAATAGGGCCTTAGATGTCATGTTAAATCGTTCGAGTTATACATACAGTCCACGACACAAAAGAGTCCGAATCGCGCACTAAGGGTTCGGTACCGAAAACGAGCGAAATATTATAGCGGTAACAGAAAGACATCAGTTGTGAAAATTTTATCTGTCTTACTATCACGGTTAATGAGATACAGCCTGGTGACAGACAGACAGCGAAATCTTAGTAATAGGGTTCTACCCTTTGAGTACTGAACCCCAAAAAACTAATTTATCTATAAAAAACTAAAATATCGATAAAAAACTAATATATTTGATCAATTTTGCAGTAACAATTCTATATTATATTTGTCTCAGAGAAAATTAGACAGACATTATTCTTAAACAATACTGTTTGTAATAAAATATATTTAAACCTTTTTGGAATTAGACGTATATTCAATTTACGTCTAGATATTACTGGCATTTATAACCATTCTGTGTTCTATGACAATAACCTATTTACCTCCAAAGTGGTGCTCTCTTTCCAATTGTCGTACGCTGCTATGGGATCAGCCGGTTTCTTCAGTAGCAATCCATACCGTGTATCATACCGCATAGTCATTGCTCTGTGAAGGTACTGATACGCCATCTTGTAGACAAATATAAATACGAAACAATATTAACCTTTACTTCCATTTGAATACCTATATTTTTAAAATTTCAAATAAAGCCTGTCATCTGTACTTATCTTCCCAAATTTTGTTCCTAATAATTATGTGATGAAGATCATTTTTAGCGTCTTATCTTAAATAAATAACTTTTAAATTTTCTTAGAATTATAAGTGTATATGTACTGGTGGTTACCAAATAGAATATACTTTTGCTAATAGATAATATAATTTTGCACCTAATAGATAAGCTAAATATGATAACTTACGTTGGAAACTATAAACTACTGTCTCTTTTTATAATATCAGTATAGAACAGGGGTCGTCAACCTTCGAATCTTTCTGTTACTGTCTAAATCCAATAAATAATGTAATCGATCCATATTTTACTAGTTTAGTACCCATATTGTAATACTATTGAGATATGACTAAGAGACAGATATGCAAAGTAGTTTGTTTTAAACAAAATATCATATAGAGATATAATATTGAAACGAAACATTAGATCTTTGAAAACTGAGAAATTATGTGTATAATGTAGCATTCGACTCATTCGTCTTATAGCTGATCCCTTGTACATCATCACATACATTGCTCAGATTCCAAGATGAGAATAGTTCAAGCCTATGCCCAATACTATTTACCCGAGACATTATAGAAAACTATATTCCACATTGATCCGAACGGGAATCGAACCCGAGACCTTACCCGAGACGGGGAAACCGGCGTGCGAACCACCCGGCTTCAGAGATCAGACATAAACTCACCCTGATGCAATAATACTCCTTGTCGTTAGCGAAAGAGGCGCCGAGCAGTTCGAACGCTTCGATCGCCTGTGCGCGCGTCACCTCCGGACGAGCCGCGAGGATCTCTACTACGGATGCGCGAGCGCGTTCCGCGGCGCATTGCAGCGGTGTCATACCTATATATTAATATTAGCAATATACATCAAAGTATATTAAACTAATTACTATTAGCAGAAATTTTGCCGAAACAGAAGAATTACGCTGTCTATATCTATATTAGCAACGCTAATGGTTAATGCAAAGAAGCGCATCTTCTGATAATTTATGACGCAACAGAGGTAGGAGCTGAGACTGCCTCTGATCTACAGATAGTCTTAATAACATTCGGAATCTTCCTAATTTTCGTTCGAGAGACAAAACAAAGGAGGCCGTCAGATATACCCCGTGGAAAAATGTAGGCGGTGTAGGAAACCTTTCACGATCTTAGATTAGTGATGACTGTCAAAAGATAGCGCTAGTGTCCTTATATGATAATTGATTTATTTTCTAAACTCACTTATTTCTTTCTAACTAAAAAATAAATAAGAAATTCTCAAAAAACATATAATTAATAAATAATAATGCTGAAGAAAATAATAATTTCTGATAAAATTAAATTTTTCTACTCGCATACACCTTGTATAACGTCTATTGATTATGTTTATCAGTGAATCACACATGTTTTTAATTTGTTATTACATTTTTAATATTATACTATCATATCACTTTAACGATAATAGTGACGATGTTTAGATTTCGCTCAAACCGTAAATTCCGTAGTAAAAATATTTGTAGCTCCAATCTTCTTAACTGGTATACTTCGGTAAGGCAAACAACTATACAAAAAATAATAAACGGGAAAATAGTATTAGGTATTATATTTCGATAGACAGATTTAATGTTCGTACATTTTCAGATTACCCTCCCTTTTCGTTCATTTACGTTATATTTACCTTATATTTTCACGCTCACTAACTATTATGTGAACACGGAAGGTTCCAAAACGTCTATAAAACTAAATATGAACACGATGAAACCGTTTAAAAGTTGTTTCATACATGTTTACCAGATTTCATTTATTTCCATAGGTACACTACAGCATTACAATAAATACGTAGGTAGCTATCTATATTATATCAAGCCAGTACCTAATGAATTATATACATTTAGTTGACTTCGCGAACTTCATGCCTCTTTATTAACTAGCTGTTTTTACGCGACTTCGCTCGCTTAAATTATTAAAATTGGATATGATTCTTTGTGTACCCATTTTTATCATCTATGCGATGGATCGACCAAATAAAGCTATACAATTAAAATAGGTATTTTAAATCACAATGTCGATTCCAACAGTTTTATTGGCTCGAAACTGGTCAAAATGACAGTGACAGCTAACTGACAGATAAAAATGCCCGTAGTAAAATCGACAATTAGCGCCTCATATAAAGCAGAGTCAGAGTTTATAGCAGAAGCAAAACTATACTGAGCAAAACACTGGATTCTGGCGAAATCCAAAAACGCCAATAATTAAAAATAAGAAGAAGAAGACAATTAGCGCTGCCAGTAGTAATCGATGTTTTTCCCTCAAAAAATCTATATTAATAATATTAAAATGTAGAAAGATTTGATTGTTTGTTTGCAACGAATAGGCTCCGAAACTACTGGACCGATTTTAAAATTCTTTCACCTACACCATGGAAAGCTACATCACAAGCGGTGAAAATAGGCTATAGTTTAGCCTGAAACAACAAAGGGATAAAAATGGGAAAGAAAGTTTGTATAGAAAATTAAAACGTTACCATAGTAATCATTGTTTACTATTCAATTTGTCATTGTAATTATATCCTTGTCATGTTATGAATCGATATCCTACAAGGGATAGATAGCTAGGGACCACGCACGCAAAGCCGCTGGCGGAAAGCTAGTAGATATATAAATACTTCACCATTCTCGTTGGTCAGTATGTGAGCGTTGCGCTCGAGGAGTGCGCACACGACGGCCGCGTGACCGCACTCAGCTGCGAAGTGCAACGCCGTAGCGCCGCACAGGGCCCGCTCATCAACGCGCGCCCCACTCTCCAGTAAAAACTGAACCTAATCGATCATCATATTTTATTAACTTTGCATTTACAATGTTATACCGATATATCATCATCATCATCAGCCTTTTTACGTCCCCACTGTAGGGGCTCAGGCCTTCCTTATTCAGGTTAAGGAGGATGGGCCATAACCCTCCACCCTTTTTTTTATGGAATAGGCGGCAGACGAGCAGACGGATCACCTAATGGTGAGTGATTAACGCCGCCCATGGACACCTGCAACATCAGAGGAGCAAAAGCGCGCTGCCGGCCTATGAGGGACGAACATGCTCTACGCTTGAAAGTTTGCAGGTCTAAAACCCTGCTCTAATGCGGATTGGAGAGTATTAACTGCTATGTAAATGCAGCCGGAACCAACGGCTCAACGTGCCTTCATTTTGGTCACCCAGCCCGTGACCGAACCTTACCAAAGTTGCTTAACGACAACTTTCACGGGGCGAGCCGCTTATCTACTACGTCCCCAAACTACTTATGCCACGGAGCTACTATATCTATTTCAATAAATAACTTATAGGAAATCGCTTAAAATATTCACCGGTACCATACGGGTACACCTGTGCCTTACTCTGTATCTTCGACAGCGAAACCTACCTATGCACCTGAAGCCTTATTCTGTATCTCCGAAAACGAAATTTCGTCTATTTTTTAAATGCTTATATCTGTGTATGCAATTTTTCTATAATTTCTGATGCAACGGAGGTAGAACCTGACACTACGTCTGATGCACATACAACATATACTATTTAAATTATGCGCCTCGGTATATTTCGTGTTTACGAATTTAACCGATCAAGAAACCAATGTGTGATCGTCGTTTTAGCCGCCAAAACTCGTCAGTACCTCGACTGTGATGATAGTGACAGCACGCAATATTTCTTAAAGATATGGGGTTTAGATTTATGAAGACAGAAAATAACAGAAGTCTCCTTGCAGAAAAATCTGCTGTACGCCTAAAAATAATTGAATATATTAAGAAAATACAGGCTTTAAGAGCTGCCGGAAAAAAAAATTGTATACATACTTCTCACACAAAAGGCAAGTCTTGGCTTGATAAAAATAAAAAAGGGGTTAAACAACAGATTTCCAAAGGTGAACGCATTATTATCATGCATGCAGATAATAAGAAAGGTTTTGTACCTGGTGCATTACTGCTAGGTAAATGTTTGGATTCTGATGGAGATTATCATCAAGCAATAAACGCAGACACATATCAAACTTGGCTACGCAATCAACTGATTCCCAATTTACTTCCAAATAGTGTAATAATAATCGACAATGCACCATACCATAACCAGTTATTGGTTAAGTCGCATGCAAGTATTTCAGTGTATAGAATATCAGCAATAATTATTTTATTTTATTTTAAGTAGGTACATCAGGGATTTAAATTTATCTTGTTCATTATCAAAATAAGTAAGCGAACAATACTTGACATTCATACAAAAATATAATTAACATAATTAATTAGTTCTATAAGTTCAAACCTGATACAAATTTTTATTATATTTAAATAAAATCGTATTATTTTAAAATACTACTTTACTATCTGTATTCCTGCAACTTCGCCCACGTAAATAATAAATAGCCAGTATCAGCGGCGTATAATGTAGCTTCCCTTATGGCTGGTTTGGTTTATAAGTAAATAAGTAGTATGTAGAATATAATTTTAAATCAGTTAAACTCATAAGTAGTACTCAAATTTTTACTTATTTGTTGTGTTTGCACATACTTAATCACTTAAAACTAAGTTAAAAATCTACATACTACTTATCTACTTGTGTAAATTAGCCATTAGGTGAAATAATTTTCGTGATGGAATCATTATTCCGAGGAAATAAAGTTAGAAACTTTACCTTTAAAATCAACTTAAAGCGGTATTTTTCAGGTTTCCATTACTTAGGGTCTTAGGGTCTAATATAAGTATTATACAGTGTCAAGGATCTTACCACGTCCAAATGTCCTTTATACGCTGCAATCATAAGGCATGTGTTGTTGTATTTGTTCGCCTTGTGTATGTCAGCGCCGTGTCTAACCAGGTATTTGACTATATCCAGTCGGCCGTCGAAACATGCGGCGCGGAGGGGCGTGCTCAGTGTCTTTGTGGCATGATTGACGTTGGCGCCTGCGCGGACTAACCTTTTCACTATACCTAAGTGACCGGCGCCCGCTGCACACCATAATGCCGTTGCACCTGTACAATAGGACGTATTACTGCAACTTTGTTGCGCTAGATTGCAGCACCAGTGCATGTAGTAAACAGTTTTTTATAAACATACGTTGAATTGCTTTAGTTTTGCTTTCTGTATTATTCGGTAGTTGAATTTGCATGAAATTAACAATATGTGGCTTGGTAACGCCGCGGTCTGCGATCGTTGTTCGTCTGTGACAGGATGGGTGACCAAAAAAATTATTATTTCGAGCTACTCCGTGCTTCAGAAGGCACGTTAAGCTGTTGGTCCTGGTTGCATTCGCAGTCGTACCCTCCAATCAGCATTGGGCCAGCGTGGCGGGTCTTGGCCCATACTCCATAATTATGGAAGGCCTAAATCCCTCCAGTGGGGATGTAAAAGAGGTGATGATGATGAATTATTTGGTGTTTACGATAAACTCGACAGCATCGTAGCTTTAGTTTGAGCAGACAGTGCCGCGATACTAGACGCGCCACGTATTATGATGTAATTAGTTTCGTGTCATTAGTTTTATACTTAAATACTGACTAACTTTAGTCCAAATGGTTCTATATTTGAGATATAAACCTGTAACTTGAATCATACTGTACATTGATGAAAATAGCATTAAAATCTGTTGTATAGTTTAAAAGACCTCAACGTAGACAGCGGAAACAAGATGGAAATTTGAAGTTAAGGGCAAATGGAAGGAGTAAAAAATGAAAGTGATAACAATGAACAAAAATACTACTATAAAAAACAAAGGGAAATATATAAAGGAAGGAGAAAACTGAAAATAACAAAGAAAGGTGAAAAAAGAATTATATGTCAGTTTCCTAAAGAAAACTACGAATAATCGGCTACAGAAGACTACTTACGATGTCTATCCTATTGTTAATAAGTACGTAAGATACAATATAGTCGCATTTTATGTATCAATTGCAAAATATAAATTTGTGTTATTATTCTGAATTGCCTTTAACATTTTTGCCCTCGTATAGAGGCAAAATGGAATTTTTCAGGGTTTTACTTAACGAGATATAATTTTTTCAGTAGAATATAGTTATTATTAATAATAAATTTGTGTTCATTATTTAATTACCTTTCAATAACAAATTAATAAAACTACACAAAGTTAGCCATCTTGCCCTCCTTTCCATATTATGTATCGGCTTAAATGTCTAAACTTTAAAACGACTCATCCATTAAGCCATACATTTTTTTTTAACATCGTCTAATAACAAATGAGGATGCATATTTCAATATCGTATCTCGTACTAATACCACTATTATTCTGTGTAACAATAATATTCATATATCTATGCCAATCTTTTCACGTGAATTTTACATGAAATCAACAATGAGTGCACAATAGCAATATATTTCACAATAATGAAGATATTCCATGAATCACGAATGTATGCAGAATTTCAACTATTAATAACAAACATTTCGAATGAGAAATGGTATAAGAACGCACATTCAACCAACTAGCGAAACGCAACGCCAAACGAATTTATAACTCAGTCATATTAATCGCCGTAAATCATATGGTACAGTACACAAAAACAAAACAACACTGGAAATATGCCAACATCTCCATCGAAACGTAGGTACTCGGTCAATTTTTAGTTCCTTTGTACGTAAAGTGCTTTCACAATTTTCATACTAAAAATAATCACGCGCATGGGATCGACGACACACAAAAAAAAATAAGTCAACGCTCTTGGTTTTCGTCAAACCACTGAATCACAGGAGGTGCTTATTAACTGTATTATTTAAAGGTAAACAAATAAACATCTCGTATACTTAATCCTACTGATGAGGTTATCATAATATCTATGTGGGCGATCAATTTTCTATTTTATTATTAACTAGATCTTTTCTTGCAACTATAGACTAAGTCACACGCATACAATGTAGCTTCCCTTAGGTGAAATAGTTCTTAAAATCGTTCCAGTAATTTCGGAGGCTATTCGATGCAAATAAACAAACAATGAAAACTTTCCTCTAGATACTAGTATAGACATGATATTTTATTCATAGATTGCATGTGTTCATGAATTAAAATATCACATATAACAAAAAATAGTGCGAAAATTATAACGATAAATATTTCTCCGCACAAATTCACATACTGCACTATGAGTAGATACATATATTGTTTAGATTATTTTACTTATTTATTCGTGAGAGACTAGTAACTATAATAAGCTTAACCTGAAATATTAAATCACCAGGTTCCAACCCCACAAACGAACATATCTCTTATAAAACTGTAAGCTGTAGGTACTACCAACACCATTATTGTCAACCTCAACCTTCCCGTTAATTCATAGAAGTACAGTTAAACACTACATTAATCTATGGCATAATCTATTTAAAAGTAATTAGCATCTTTGTATCATCATGCGTTAGCTGTATTTACGATTTCGTTTACAGTTAAATTTTGACAATGAAATAATAGACAATTTAGTGTTGATTGTGTTATACAGATAATTATCCAAAAAAGGAAAAAAATCTATGTTATAGACTTGTACTAAATTGTTTTGAAATCGAATTTAATTCCTTTTGGGCTACATTAACTGGGAAAATCTAAAAATTAGATTATTAAGGACTCTCTAACGTCGTCGCATTCTTTTTTTGATCCATAGAAAATGCGTTACGCACTATACCCTACCGCCTGACGGCACGAAAAGGGGGTTGTGTAGGACTCACCCCGGCTCGGGACGGGGGCTTAGACACTAAAAACCCAGTTCATACTCTCGTTCAGAGTGGCATCTGGGAATCCGGGCGTATTCTCCGGGACAAAAGCGAGACGTTGGACGTAGGATGCGATTCGTTTCCGATTTTTTTTATCACTAGCTACGCGGACTGTTGACCACGTAACTTTATATATTAAAATCTTTCAACAATATACATTATCAACGAGAACATAGTTCGCAGGGTCAAATAATATACTATGAATGTAACAATCACAATAGCTAGTCATATTTTTTTATACTAAACAAGTAACCTTGCTCCTTTTACGAATTTAACGAGGGACTCATTGCACTTGACATTGTAAACGTATATAAACGTGCGTCCGCGATCGCGCCTACGCATTATTCGCGGTTTCATATCAGAGAATGTTTTTCGATATTACACGGACGATGTTTTCGTACGACGTGAAAAAAATTGTTTGATATAAAAGAAACGTTAAAAATAATACGATAAAAACAACTCAACACTATAAGAATAATTAAGAACACATAATATGTCACATGAGGCCCATTGTCTGGAAACCACAAGGGGTAAAATACCAAGTATATCAGCAAAACGTATTCTATTTGTTTTATAAAATGTGAGACTTCTACCAGAGACCCTTATTTCATCAATCACTTTACCAAGGGAAAGTGCCATTTCATTGGTTGTGTAGGTCAGAACTGACAAATATATAATATGACAATTAACCTTGCACACTCAATGAATGATCCTTGGTATACTAACACATACTTCCCCTAAAGGCAAAAAAATATTCTGCAGAAAGTAATGACAACCACTGGAATCGTATATAATAAATTATAGTGATTTATTATCACAAAAACCAGAATAAACTATTATAACAAACAAAAGACCTGCTCAGTTTCAGACAAATTTAACTGCATAATATTTCAATAGTATTTCATTTGTGAATAGGAATCTTAAACAAAAAATATGTTTCTTTTAACAATGCCCAATGCTTTATACTACCCACACGACCAGCATTGGTAGTTAATATTCTAATTTAATGAAATAAATTACAAATACAGAGCAAAAATATGTAAATACTTTTCTAAATTATTTATTGTACTCACCTTCAATCACATATTCATCAAATTTAACTGTGCCCTCTGTTTCTAGCCTTACGGGAGGTCTAAATTTTTCAAGCAGAATCCGTACTGCTCCTTCACGACCATGGCGAGCTGCAGCTATCAATGGTGTGCATTTAACACCATCACAGCATACATCCTGTGAAATGTTATTTAATAAAATAAAATAAAAATTGTATTTGATAGGGCAAGAATATATAGAATATTTCTATGTTATGTCATATTTAAAAGTCACACTTTACTAATTTATTTCTTTCTCAATTTAATAACTATGTACCTCAATTGCTTCATGGAGTAGAAATATTTATATCATTCAGATAAAATCTAAATTAAAACCAAGTTATATTTTAATATTGTAAATAAGAGATAATTTCAACATTTAAACTATTCACTTAGGTACTAATCTGAATATATTGGACTCTTACAAGAAATAGTACTTAGTTCTTATAAGAATCTGGTATTTTTATATGACTTGCAATTTTGATAGAATAAACAAACAGCACAAAAAAACAAAACGTAAATATTTTGTTAGCGTCCAGTTCATAAGTAAGTTTTAATGGAATTAAACTCAAGCAGTAAAACAATGTTATCTAAAAATGATGTAACATTATCAATGAACAATATAAGGGACCTTTGTACATTAAAAATTACAGTATTAAAACACGCGTGGAAATAAAGCGCGCAAAAGGTAACACAGTGATTTGAATGTTATAAATAGACAACTGAGGCGACACTAACAAAGAAACATAAAATATAAGAAAATTATAATTTCCAGCTTACACTTACACTGTTTAGCAATTCATCCACATCGTCCGTAGTTTTCTCATATAATAAAGCGTAAAGGGTTAAAGACATTCCATCTCTCGCTGCGAAAAATACTCTTTCTCTCAAGGTGCTTGAAATATCGTCTAATAATTTATCCCCCATCATACACGAAATGAGATCAAATGTCTCTACTAATTGCAGTTTATTGATTTTAACTAATTTTATTTATTAATTATCACTCAATTTTCTCCGCAAGCAGAAAATGTGAAAAATCTCTTGAAAATACACAAACCAACTTAATAAATCTGCTTCTCACTTGCCTTGCAATTAATGACAGTGACAGTCACTACAGAATGACAGTTATAGGGATGTATGCACTAAGTTTTTTGTAAATTCAATTATAATGTATTCAATAGTACTTATTAATCATAACACTGGTTCCTTAAACGTTGTAATTTCTTAATAACACAATCCATATAAAATATATCTTAAGTTAATGGTCATAGACTGTTACTCCAAATGCTTGCTAAAGAGAGCTCTGAATTCTATATAGCATCAGTAGCGAAAAGTGCAAGTCTTAGAAATTCTTATTAGAATCGGGCACCAATTGGTTTGACATTACTGTGGGCTTTTGGGTAGTGTGGATTAAATGATTTTTTAGCAATTGCTGTCCTCTAAAATTATGAATTTAAAAGGAGAGTACATTTACATAAACAGATGATAGTAAACATATATTAAATTATACATTTATAGTTGACAATTTGACATTATTAAGAGTAAGGATACCTTTATCTCATCTTCTAGCCTCCGAGTTATCAATATAGTCAATTCAATTATAATATATTCAATCGTGCTTATCTATATTCATATACTAATACTAATAATATTACTGGTTCGAAATGAAAAATTCTTTTTGTGTTGAATAGACCATTTATCGAGGAAGGCTTTAGGCTATATAACATCACACTACACCTATTAGGAGCGAAGAAATAATGGAAAATGTGGAAAGACGGGGAAAATTATTCATCCTTGTGGGCTTCCGCTGCGTGCGCTGCAAAAACGGTTCAAGATACCAAAAATATATGTATGAAAAACTATGCTATGATAACAGGAATCATTGTTTACTATCAATTTGTAATTATAATTACTAATTATATCTGTGTCATGCTATAAACAGTTCCCTAGGGATCACGCGGGCGAAGCCGCTGGCGGAAAGCTAGTTAATCAAAAAACTGTTTCCGAAAACATTGTATACTTAATAACACAATCCATATAAAATATATCTTCACATTTTTTTTTTTATGGGATAGGGGGCCGACGAGCAGACGGATCACCTGATGGTAAGTGATTACCGTCGCCCATGGACACCTGCAAAACCGGAGGGGCTATAAGCGCGCTGCTGGCCTTAGAGGGAAGGGTTGAGGGGTAGAGGGAAGGGAATAGGTAGGAGTTGGGCCTCCGGTACCCTCACTCACACGACGAAACACAACGCAAGCGTTGCTTCACGTTGTATTTCAATAATAAACACCTATTTGCAAGGCAAAGAGTATTTTCTCTTGATTAGTTTTAATAAAAGCAGAGGTAACTAACCTATAAAACTATGGCTAAAACAAAAGCAAACATTGTTGTTCAACAATTTAATGGAACTAATAAAAAAATGATATTTAGAGAATAAATCCACCAAATATATAAAAGTTCGATTTATTTCTAAGCAAAAGTCGGTATTTTTATAAATAACATTTTAAAAATTATTTTGAATTAGATGATAATAAAAATACAGTATATGTGGACATGGAGATTCATTAACATTTTTATTCGAGTTTGATTTTTTATTACTTCATGACAGTTTCATTATTACATTTTCTTTCTTTTGCATACAATAACGTTTTATTTTTTACATTTACATAGTCAAAGATAATACACATCGAACGAAACGCAGCACAAGTACTTGCCACGTTTTGTCCAAGTGGAATAAATTTGACCAATGACAAATGTTTTGTGCAATTTGATGTTTTTTTTTGTACAATTTGATTTTGACGTGTAACCTATCGCTTTCCCTTTATTTACAAAAACTGATTTTAAATTGTTTAATTAATTCGATATGTCTACCGGTCAATGGGAAGTTGTTGGTAAGAGCAAAAAGTCGCAGAATGGAAAGGTTAAATCTAAGGAGGAAACTAAAAAGGCAGTGAAAAATGGTCCAAAACTCGAAGATGTCGGTGAGTTCTACCATAAGTTAGCATTTAAAATCTCATATTTTATTCAAAGTGTTTGTTTCAAATCATGGATATTCTCTTCTTTTTCTATTTATGTTAAAATTGTTGTGTACGTCATGTGTCCTAATTTCATAAATACGTAGACGTATTAAAAACGCTGATCTTTAAAATGAAAAGATTATATGGATTTATAGATATAAAGATCAGCCGAAAACAATTAAATGTGTTTTATTTTATAGTGCCCCACTCACAAATAAAGTCCTTTTATGAGGGTATGGAAATCGATGATGATAGAAAACCTACCAAAGATAAAAAGAAAGAAGGAGAGAAGAAGTCAAAGAAGCAACAAGATAAAAAAACAGAGCCTCCGAAACCTAAACCCCCAAAAACCATAGAAGGAGCTTTCCAAGCTGTAAGTGTTGTGTTTTCATTTTTATCACAAAAAAACCATCTAGTGGGATAAAAAGTAGTCTATATATTAATATAGATTTAGAATTATCCATATACCAAATTTCATAAAAATCTGTTTAGTAGTTTTTGAATGAAAGAGTATCAAACATGTTATATTTATCCTCACAACATTTTGCATTTTTAAAATTTTTTAAAGTAAAAGTAAGATATTAATTAAAATCTATTCAGATATTTTTCACATGATTGACACTTTTTTATATTAAGTTTTCTTTAAATACTTACATAATTTACATGATATATACTACAAATTACATAATAATTAACATAATTCAACATATTCAATAATTCAACAACAATCATTCCAGATTGATCCAGAAGAGTTATCAACAATTATTGCAACAAACAAAGTGAGATTTTCCAATGCACCTCTAGTTTGGCTCAAAGAAGTGGCCAACTTTTTGAATTCCAAGACTCAAATTGAAATTGATGACCCCACATTTGCTAGCAGTCCCTCTGATTACCCACTGTGTATTGTACCAGAGCCTATAAGAAGCAGTCTTGAGAATGTTTTAAGAGATGCAGGCAAAGCAAATACACAATTGTTTTTTGATGTTACTCTTACTGCATTGGCCAATGATATGAGTAGAGGTAAGTGCTACAATTTACAACTTTTTAGATGCACACATCATAGCATTTTTTAATGTATGCTGTAAGGAAAAACATTTACAAATACAATATGTTACCTTCTAATATAAAGATAACATATTGTAATGTTTAATTAAATTATCAATTATAATAGGGATGATGACTGTGTAAAAAAATGCAATTCTATTTAGTCCGTCAGTCAGATAATAGAAAAATATTAGATACGTATTTTTTTTTATATCAATTTAACAAGAAATAGCTTAGATAACATGCATTAAAGTTGAGGAGTGGGGGCTTCCTACGTCACAGTTGAGTAGAAAACGTACTCTAACGTGACGTCATGCGAAATTTCAACTCAATGTAACGCCGTTATTTTATGATTACGAAAAAAATTAAAAAATATGTGTTTAATATTTTTTAACACTCTACCTGACGGACAAACAATCAAAAATTAGTCATCATCCCTATTACACAGTATGAAATTGCATAAATTCACATTCTGGAATAAAATGTCTGTCTGACCTCTACATATTCATTTCATAACCGATTACTATAAACTTTTTTTGTGATCATAAAAATATGCAAACTCTACAGCTCATCAATTTCAATTTTTATTGTATTCTTTGTTTATTCTAGGTCAACAAGTTAATGGTCATAGACTGTTACTCCAAATGCTTGCTAAAGAGAGCCCTGAATTCTGCATAGCATCAGTAGCGAAAAGTGCAAGTCTTAGAAATTCTTATCAGAATCGGCCACCAATTGGTTTAACATTGCTGTGGGCTTTTGGGCAAGGTGGATTAAGTGATTTTTCTGTTGGATTAAAAGGTAATTAAATAAACAGTTATACACTATTGATAAGTAATATAAATGTAATAGAAACGTGATGACTTAGTAATTCTATGACAATATCAGTCATATAAAATTTTGACATTAAAACACACCAAACTTTAATCATCTATATTCTATATACTAAAATAAATATAAAATCACTACATTTTTATATTTGTTTTAGTAATAGCTGTCCTGTAAAATTATGTATTTAAAAGGTACATTTACATAAACAGATGATAGTAAATACACTGGACCGCAAAGAAAACGGGTCGGTTAGAAAATCTTCAATAACGTGAAAACTACCTCGCCTAGCTTTATGAAATAAAAACTCAATTAAAGAATATTTAATGTTATTTAACATAGTATATAAAACCTTTTTATTTACTTTAGATAATTGTGTAAGAAAACTGGCAATGAAGATAATGGTTGTTTTTCAATTTAGTTCTAAAAAAATCAAAGCATTTGTTTCGCATTTGTTTTAGTTTTGACATAAAAACTACAATAAATATTGTGTGTTTGTCATACAAAAATTGTATTCTGAAGTCATCATATCGTTAACCCCTGAAGAATGCACCAGGATCCTGACAATGCTTGAAGATGGGCGCAGTCAGCGCAATACAGGGAGAACTGTTGGTGTGAGTCTTTCCACAGTTCAGCGGGTACTCCAGCGTTTCCATGAAACTGGATCTAACCTAAGAAGACCAGGAACAGGCCGAACGAGGTGCATGACTGCGCGGGAGGATCGTTATATGGTGTCAACAATTTTGAGAAATCGATTTTTTATGGCCGTTGAGGTAAAAAATCACCATTTACGAGCTGGAGGAAACTATCTGAGTACAGATACAGTAAGGCGACGTCTGGCTGAAGCAAATTTGAGACCATTAAGGCCTGCAAATGGCCCAAAATTAGAAAGACACCACTTAAACTCAAGGCTGAGTTATAGCAGAGAACACGAAACTTGGACTCTGGATGACTGGTCAAGAGTTATGTTTTCAGACGAGTCTAGATTCTGTTTATACAAGCACGATGGGAGGAAAAGAGTGTACCGAAGACCGGGAGAGCGCTATAACCAAGCTTGTATAGAAGAAAAAGTACCATATGGCGGTGGCTCTATACACGTGTGGGCTGGGATTTCTTCCGAAAGCCGTACTGAGCTAGTAGTGATAGAAAATGGCAGTTTAACAGCAGAACGATATGTGAATGAAATTCTTAATGACTATGTTGGTCCATTTTTAGTAGATATGGGCGAAAATGCTGTTTTTATGCAAGACAACGCCCGCCCGCATACAGCTCAGATAGTGTTCGACTATTTTCACGAAGTAGGTATCACATGCGTGGAGTGGCCAGCACGAAGCCCCGACTTAAACCCCATCGAACATGCATGGGACGAACTGGGACGACGTGTACGTCAACGGAATCCGCCGCCAATCACGCTGCGTGAATTGAAAGGAGCTTTGATCGAGGAATGGCAGAACATTCCGCAGCATCGCCTTAAAAACCTTGTGGAAGGTATGCCGAATCGCATAGCCGCAGTTTTGCAAGCTCGTGGAGGCAACACGAAATACTAACATGCGTAAAAACGTCACATCTTTATACAATTCATATTTACGAAAATGTCAGAAAAACTACCTTTTTCATTCGTTTGACATTTATTGAAAATAGACAACTTTTAATTTGTATTTTTTTATATTCAATAAATTACAATTAAATAATCTTTAATTTAGTTTTTATTTCATAAAAATAAGTTAAGTAGTTTTCAAGATATTGACGATTTTCTAACCGACCCGTTTTCTTTGCGGTCCAGTGTATATATTAAATTATACATTTATAGTTGACAATTTGACATTATCAAGAGTAAGGATACCTTTATCTCGTCTTTTAGCCTCTGAGTTATCAATATAGGTTGTTATGACACATTCGAAATGTATTGATAACATATAAATTTACTCTCCTACATGTCAGTGTTGGTGTGTTAATATTTATATGGACATGTTAAAAAAAAATATTAGTTAGTGTATTAAGTTAAAAAGGTACTCATGATTATTGTTTACTATGTAACATAAAAATTAAAATTTTACTTTAGAATTTTGTTTCCATCCACACCATTTATAACTATTTTATCTTATTCTTGAATTCTTTCAAATCATAAATTAAACTTATTTTGCTGTCAGAAGACTATTTTGATTTTCCATTTCTCACTTCTGACACTCAAGATTTTGGCTGTAATTTGAATGTTTTGGTTGTATGTATGTAGACATATATTATTGACTAGCCTTCCGCCAACGGCTTTCGCCCGCGTAATATCGTTTTAAGTGCAGAAATGACAAAAATCCATAAAAACTTCCATCCCCTAATTTACCCCCTTAGTGGTCGAAATTCTTAAAATTCCGTCATAGTGAGCACCTACGTGCTAAAAAGAACCCGCATGCAAACTTTGAAACTCCTAGCACTTGTAGTAACGAAGTTTCATACAAACTTTCATCCCATAATTTATGCCTTTAGGGTTTAAATTTCACAAAATCCCGTCTTGGTAAGCACCTACCTCCTAACAAAAACCCGCATGCAAAAGTTGTAGTTTCTGAGATTTCTTGATGAGTGAGTGAGTGAGTGACCTTTCGCTTTTATACCTATATATAGATACTTATACTGTTACTTTTTAAATCGTTATTTATTTGTAAGTCTAGTTATATTAACAATCTGCTGTTTATTGTTACGTTTTTCCATTTTCTGGAGATTGTCTGGAAGAAATAAAATATCAATATATGTCCATGTAATTTTCCTCACTTTTCTGTTGTGCAATAAAATAAGTATTACTTTATAATTCTAAAGGAAGTCTATCATTACAGCTTGGCAAGAATTGTTTCTCCCAATAGCAGAATTAAAGAATTATTCGAAATACGTGATATCTTACTTAAACCAGTTGTTAGATAACCACACCAGCATGGATAATGTGAAAGTTACTCAGGATCAGCTGTTTGCCATGTTTGATATGGTTAATAACAAAAGGAATAGTTTAACGAAGGATCTATCAAGTGACCTTATCATGCAATTAAGTAAATATAAGGTGAGTTTCAGAAATGTAAATCAAATCATTCTTAATCAAAATTGCTTCAAAGTCCAACTTTTTATCTACCTCCCATTCATGATGTCGTTGTGTTCATCTTCACTGATGTAATTTTGAGAATTAGCAATTTTAAATTTATTTAAAATGCAATATATTAAGTACCTAGTCAAAATTTATATATTTTTATTGTAATATTTCAACCTATATTATTTATAAAGTAAAATAGTAATTATTGACTGCCATGACCTGTGTTGTTATATAAGTAACTTTTGTAATCAAAATCTATACCGTCATGTTATTCCTAGACCTAGCCAGACATAGGGCCAGCTAAGTGAACACTTCTTTTATAACTGCACACATTGTGATAGTATCACGGGGGCAAGACTAGCAATTGATTATCTAGAATTATTAACACTAAATTAACTTTATGATGATGATAACGATTATTTCGGAACCAAGCAACCTATATGAAGCAATATGCAAAATACTCTTGCCGAAGAAGACCGAATATTTATTAATTGTAAATATTAGAGTATTTATGTTTCGTTTTCCTTCTCTTCTTTATTATCTCTGAAGCATTTTTCATTAAGAATATTAAGAAATATTTGTTTTATGTGAAATTTTGTAACACTAAAACAATCCTACTTACTAAATAAGTATTTTATTTTTTAGGATATATTTTTCGCTCAAAGTGGCAGTAAGTTACAAGTATTGTTCAATCAAATAATGAAGAAATTGCCCAACCAATATCTGAGTGGTAGCGGCTTGGACCCATACAACAAAGTCCTGGTGGAATGTCTTGTTGACTGCCTTCAAAAAGACGATTCATGCAATGCCACTTGGAGACAGTTGTTCCATAAATGTAGCAAGCAATCTGCAACTCTGCTTGAATATATCGGTAAAGGAATTGGTGGATTTTTGAAAGCTATTAAAATAAAAGTTAGGGTTAGTGCATATCTGACGGAAGATGTGTAGTGTCTCATCTCTCTCATAAATTATATACTATGAAATTTGACGTTGCACACTAGATAGAACTTTACGGAATTGGCTACTGAACTATGTTGGAAAAAGTATTTTAAAACTTTCATAAGATCACTTATTTTTCCCCAAAAAGTGTTATTAAACAAAGAAAAAACATGTTTTCATTCGCTCCTTTAAATTCTCCCGCAAAAACAATCAGTCACGTGATATTTCGAGCCGTGACATAACATTTCAAATGTACGTGAGTACTGTTGCACTCGCAACTAAGACATTAGTTTATTGAAATATGACGTCACACAATTCTCTGTTATGGCAGTCTTTCTTTTCCTTGACGTTACACATCTTCCCCTTTGCTTTTTTGCCGAACCTTAGTGTCTTTTCAGGTTATAAAATAACAGATTTTTTTTTTACTAATAAACATTATTATGAATTTCACATTAGTGTTGGATAAAAGCTAAGCTTTAAAACAACAGAACTTAAATCTATTATCATTATTGTCATGTCATTTTTAATAAAATAAAAATAAAGTCTTTATGCATTATAGTTACCTTGATATTTTGAATGTCTACTTGCAGACTGTCATTAATTTTAGTTTATTTTTTTTTTAGTATTAGAGATTGTATTTATTTGATTTGTCTTAAATAAAAACATAAAAATAATGGTCAATCGCAAAATGTTAAACTGAAATATCCTACATTTTGTCTTGTTGACTTTATTATTGATGTTATTTTGTATTCAGATAACAACTGGATCAATGTTAGTCCAAAGCTGAAACTGAGGTCGTTGAAGACAACAGTCCTGCAGTTCAAGGAAGTGAGTGGCGAAGCTCTCAAAGGCAAGAAGAAGGATGAAACTGTCGTCAAAACAAACAAGATATGCCAGGTTAGATTTATGGTATATCTTTCTTATTCTCAGGTTGCGACTCAAAATCGGGTAAAAAACGAAAGAAAACATCACTTTCGCGGTTTCCCGTTATGAATGAAAAAGTTTTGCCAGGAAAAAACAATAACGCAATATTTTTAAAAAGGAATAATTTAAAAGAAAAATATTTTTTTTATCCTGTATCATATATATCAACTTATTGCTTTTGTGAGTTTTGATTTGTAAAGTAGGGTTAGTTTGGGAGACAAAATGTCATTGAACTAATAGTGGTAAATGGGATTACTTCTTTCATAAGGACTTTTTTGTATGAAACTATTTGTGTTAAAAATTTAATCACTTTTGATTTTTCCTTTTTCTTCAATAACAATGCTGTGTGTAATATTGCATTATGTTAATAGTAATCTGATCGTTTGCTCTTTTCAAATAAAATATACAAAGCCAATGATCCTCATTACCTTTTAAAAAGAGTTGGGAACAAATGAATTGGGAAATGCCAACACAACATATCCAATGCTATAAACTTAAAAAAAAAAGATGCGTTTAGTTTCGTCATTACCGTCTGTCGCCTATACTCGAGCTGCGTTCGAGCTTTCACCGTGAAGCTTTTACGTGTGTGCGTTTCAATGTAACCAACAATTTGACATGTGTCATGTCAAATGTCATTTGAAAAATTTGGGCGGACATATTTGTTAGCTACGTATCTATTTAGCGTTATCTGTTTAAAGTTTTCCTTTTGTAAAAGGAAATCATTAATGAAAGTTGTGTAAGTAATTGTTGTTATTGTAGAAGGTTCTTAATTTTTATTTGTCTATCATCCACTCTGTATGAATTTGTGCTAATCAAAGTATCTCATATTAAAATTGGATACTGGGTCGTGGTGCGTGATTTCTGAATTAAACTTGAAAAACCACTTCATATTCGTGCTAAATAGAAAGCAACCACCCGTGAGAACCGTAAATATTTTGTTACTGTTAATGTCCGTTACCTGGGGGCGTATTACGCCGTTGAGTTTCATCTAATTACGTACTAATCATAAAACCAAAGGTAAAATAAAGTAAAGGTACATGGTTTAGGCCGCATTGTTATTTAAATTATAACATTTATTTAATAAATTGTCTTTGTTTATCTTCATGTTCTTATCTTTTAGTATGTATAAACATGTAAACATATAGTGTGTCATTAGATAATTTTCATGTAACAATTTTATCACAGTAGATAGTTAGTTAAACATCAACTTCAGTTCTATTTTTAATTAATTAAACTGGTTGAGAAAGTCAAAAGTTAAAAAATCTTTTAGAAAGTGAAAGCTTAGTCTTTGGAAAGTGTGTCAATAATATATACTGTTTTAAGATTCCAAAGTTCTTATATGTGTTATAAATATATGTATTTTGAACAGGATATTCTAGACAGAATGACAAGCACTAGAAGATTCCCATGGCTGTGGGCCAGCTTCTTTTTGTTTTTGAGTATCGCAGGATTAGTTACATATGATGTCTCAAGAGTTAATGGTGACTTCCCAAGTGAGTGATTGTTTATTTAATTTTAATGGTGTTTATGAGTGTATGATGTTTGAATTGTGTCCAGCAATCCCAAATATTCTTAAAACTGATTATTGACATGATAAAGAAAATATGAGTATCTGTTAGAATTTGAATATCAAAAGTATGATTTAAATAATACATTGTAAGATTTGAAGTTCTTTATTTTCCATTGTATTCACATATTTATAAACTAAAATAAGGCACACATTTTAAGCAGCTACAATCCTAGTTTTTGCAGTTTATGCCTAATGCCCTTATGGATTTCTATAAGTATGATGATATTCACATGCATTAAATCACCTGTATTATGGAAATCTGAAACAATGAAAGTATCACAACATCCAGATCTGACACATTATAGAAAAGTGAATTTTCATCGTGTGTGAATTCACATCCTCAGAAATTGAGGACACTTTAGAACCAGAAAATATTAATAGATCTATTTCTTTCTGTATATTCATGTTTTTCTAAGTAACAGTGTTAACATTTGTCAACACTTTCAGTACAATTAATCCTTTTGCTTTTACAGAGAGTACCACAGGAAAACTGTTCAAGGACCTTGGTATTTTAGAACACAGTCAAAAAGCATGGCAAAAAACACTGTCAACATCTGCACGAGGCTACATTTGGCTAGAGATGAATGCACCTACTTATTATGAGCAAACAGTTGAAGTATGCAAGCCATACTTACAGCTCTCAAAGGATGTGTTCTTTATTACCGTAAAGAAAGTTGGCATATTGTATGGAAATGTACAAGAGTATGTAATGGAGAAGACACCTGTGGTGGTAGCTACTATTGAGCAGTATGCACCAGGTCTTGTAGAAAATGTGCAAAGTTATGCCATGTCAGGATATGCAGCCGTTAGAAAGTTCACTATTGACTATTACCAACTGTCAGTTGAATATTTGAAAACTAAAGTATTTGTGTAAGTATGATTATTATAAGTATAAAAATGATTATGATTAATTTTGTCTAGTTCACTACTTGTAACTTGAATGATAAATAAATTCACTAACAGCTTTTCACTGGTTTTGCATGGGTATTTTGTACATACAAACCCCTAACAATTTTGAGAATATTTCAAATTGGTCCAGTAAATTTATAACCTATTCAATGCAAACAAACAAATGAATCAATCCTTTCTCTTTATAATATTAATATAGCTTAATGTTTTATTAATATGAAAAACTTCATATGCTGTGCCCAAATTAAATCCTATTAGAGATGTATCATATAATACAATTTTTTGAATGTAATGCTTTTCACTTCACCATGGAAAACAATGATATATTTTGAAATTCATTCATATTATGCAAAATGGTAACTTGAGGGGATATAAATGTGTATACGTAATATTTTTTTACTGTTCTTTATTCTACTCGTAATTTAAAAGTTAATAGGCAGATCATGTGGAGTTATAAAGTAGTATGGCAAATTACTAAAATTTAAGTTTAAATATATTTAAAAAATAAATTGTTTCAGTGGTGAATGGGCACCGGAAATGCTTCAGAACAAAACTCAAATGGCACTCAATGTTACCAGGAACCACATGTCCACCTACTTCCACTGGTTCAGGGAACAAGTCCACTTATACTCTGAAATACCTTGAAGTAGAATAGTGGCATTAATATGCTTATGTTCTGTGTACAGTTTTCAAATGGAGAATTGAGCCATCTATTTTTATTAATAATATATGAGTTTTGCTTGCATGTTGTTTAGGAATAATTGCAACAGCATACTAATTATGATTTTATTAGTTTTCAAATCTTAGAAGTTCAAGTGAATTTTTAATGAAATATGTACTTTTGTTTTTTATAAGTACTAATAATATGTTTCTAGGGCAAGTAAAAAAATAAAGATATGTGAGCGTCGAAAGTATATGATATGATACGGTCTTTATAGACTTCTGTAAGGTGTTTGTGTAATAACTTTATTTTGGTCTATGAAACATTAAAGGTCGCTGACCCCTACCTGACAATAATAAGAAATATTACACAGAAACGATATCTATACATTCTATGAATACACCCGTGTCGCTTTCTTTCAACGCTCACTTAATACTTTAAGGTACTCCTTTTTTGTCTGCCCTTAAAACAGACTATAATAGTGATTCTTCTCTTATATTTCGAATTAACATATTTTTTTATAGAAAGTTCTATCAAACAAAAATGAATTCTTGTTTATAAATAATTAATCAAATATGCATATTTTTATAGTTTGCTTTAAAAAAATGAAGCACAAAATGATTGCACAATTCTCCATATGAAAATTTCGATACATATTTTGTCTTCATCAACAGCAATAGTGAAATAACGAGTACAACATTCTCTGAATTGTTACTAAAACATTTGAATCTTATAGTTTTATTTATTGTTGACCTTCAAATAGTGTTTATTGGATTTAGATTTCATCATTGATGCAATAATTTCAACCATATCATGATCACTGAACATCATAACGAATTAAATTATTTTTTTACTCATCTCCATGACAAATTATTAGTTATAACTATTTTTCGAAATTGATTCAGTATTTGAAATTGTCACATTCCGATCATGCATTTAAATTATACATGTTATTATGTTTCACATACAAAAAGTTTAGACCAGAAATCGATTTGTTTTGTATGAAAATATAGTTCTGTAAGTTTTTAGTATATTTATTTGTGTTGATGAATGATTGTGTGTTTTTAAATATACGATACGAAATTAAATTCTTAATTTTTATTTCTTACAACTTCTAACAGACTTCCAACTTAAAAAGGTGAACTAAACACTTTTCTCAAAAGCGGCTTTATCAAGAAAATGGTATTGAAGTCGGACGCCTACCATTTTATTAAAAACCTACAGAAAACCTCCACCCGACTTTAATAGCATATTTTGAATAAGTCGCTTTTGAAATAAGTATTATTTTTCACTGTATAATGTTTGAAGTCGGTTCTATTTTTTTTTGCTCTGCAACATAATTCAGCTGCAAATAATCTTTTAAGGTTACAAGATCTTTATTAAGTAGGACAACAGGTATTATTTTAAATAGCTCTTTTGAACTTCCCTTAAACTAAATAATTGAAGTTAAGATATTTATTTCGTTAACAAAATAGGGAATAGAGCGCATTTGAAAAAATAGTAGGGAATAGAGCATATTTGAAACTGCTATGGTTATTCTGATTAAATAGATTGGATCTGTTAGTGGACACAAATAACCACAATCGCGTGTGTAAGCTTCCACTTCAACTCTGCATTAGTGGAAATGTGTTTTGTAAAAATAAAGCTGAATAAAAACAAATACTTTATAAACAGATTACTTATGGGCACCTCTATGTTATTATTATTTATTGTTAAAAAATAATTTAACAGTATTATTAAAAATTGTATCTGCAAGTTCGTCTATGTTCTCTTTTCTTATTGCTGCCAATATCTCCAATACTTGTCTGAAACAATTTATTTTATTACATTAGTACACATAAATTTTTATTTTAAAATGTATAAATATTTACCCACAATAAATCTACTGGGGTATTTTATATTGTAATGAATTATATTTGCTTGTCAATATCAATTAAGTAACATGCCTAATGCTAGTGGAAGGGTTTTTAAAATTGGGCCAGCAGTTTGAGTTTAATGGTTCGTTTAAATGAGGTCAATAGTCAAGACAATCCAGTAAGCCCATCTAGAATCGGTTTGTGTAAATGGAGATCACCCTTAAGCCAGTGGAGTAAAGAAAAGAAAACCGTTTCTAATTTAAACTGTCTCAGTTTGGTAATGGGCTTTGTGTAAATGGATAATTCAGTGGCATAGCTTCAACCAGACTCACATAATATTCCCTGGTTCATTCCTGCCCTTAACTTGACAGTCGGAATCAACAGAATATTTTTCTTTTTTCACTGTTGCACATTTTGTGATGACATGCTTGTATCCAGGGTGCGTCTGTTTGACTTCACACCAAGGACAGTCCGTCTCAATCATCAAACGATCTTTAGGTATTTTGGCTGCCACAGCTAAGTTTTCTTCTGTTCTTAGTGAACTGTAAACCAAAATTTTATCAATGTATAGTTCTTAATAACTTTTGCAGGTAATTAACAATTGGTATATTATTATTATTATAATTTGTTTGAAATTTTGTGTCATCCAGTCACAATATGACATTAAATTAAGTTCCATACAGTATAGTAGTTACTCAGTATCTTACATTAGTTTTAAAATTCAAATGAGAGATGGAGGTTTTAAGCTGACAACTTATGTTAAATACAGCTTTTTTCCCTTGTCCATTAAATACCTAAAAATTGAAAATAAATCTTACCATCCGTTGATGCCAATATAAAGATCCAATGCCAATATTTTATTTAAGGCTTCTTCAGTGCCATCAAATGAGTGCACAACACCACCAACTACTTTTTCCTTATTTCTGCTAAGTATATCAACCAAATCATCAACAGCAGAGCGACAGTGTAAGAATAATGGCAAATTAAATTCAGAACTAAGTTGAAGTTGAAATTCAAAATATCTGAGAAAATTTAAAGTGCTGTTAATGTTGTACAGAATAATTTTCTTAAAAACTCAATTTACTGTAATCAGTGATGATTGTTTTGAAAAACTAAATAAATAAATTTTTAAGTTCAATTCATTGGCTACAAATAAGGATGTATAGTGTACACTTACTTAAGTTGAACTTCTTTTTCACAGAACTGTAACCTTTCATAATCCAAACCACATTCACCGATCGCGACTACTTTGTCCTTATTATCACTAATTAGTTTTCTTAAGTTGTCAAGGTAGTTTTCAGGGTTATTCAAGAATTCTTTACATCTTGTCGGGTGGCATCCTACAGTAGAGAATAATCGAGCTGAAATAATAACAAGATCACAAATAAATTACTACAAAAAAAACTAATCAGTTGCTTAATTTATAGCAGTCACTCATGCTTTTTTTATTTTACGAACAATGTTTCATTTTGTAAGAAACTACATAAGACAAAATTCAATAATTTATAGATAAAAATACACACAATCACTGCGAGACAATTCAATAGATTGTTTACTGTCTATAAAACTTCCACCCGTGATTATTATTTTGTCAAGACCACTTAACCAAGACTTGCTTAGAACTTTTTTCAGGTCTGGCTCATGCTTCTTTGTACCGTGATAGATTCCTTGATACATATCATCCGTAAGATTAGCACCGATATCTATAAAAACCAAAGTAATTATAAACAGTAATCCCTCTTTAAATTTACAGTATTCCTACCGTAACTTGAATACCTATTAATTTTCTTACAGCCATTCTTCTCATACCAGTCTAGAGGTACGGAAATTTAGTATAAGTTAAATGTAATTATCATATACCAACAATTTATTTTTAAAATCTAGGAAAACAAATATAATCGTCTCTAAAATATGTCTTTACTTTTTAAAACGCAGTTTAAATTATATTATTTTTGAACGCATTTGTAAATAATAGGGTATTTGACACTATCGAAAATAAGTTTCATTTTGTGGTCATCCTGATAGATAATAATCTAATAAAGCTTATTTCTTAACATCTGCATGAAAAACATGTTTAGATTTAGTAAAATAACGTAAAGAAAATGCAATCTTTTTAGGAATTTATTCAACGACGAAAACGTGGAAAACGTCCTTTAATTAGGGATGCCCGATACGATACGATATATCGGAATATCAATACAGGACCATACGATATATGATACGATATTTTAGCCATACGATTCGTTGCGATATATCGCATTCTCACTACTACACTTTAGAATAAAATTAATGAGGATTCTATTACTTAACGGCACCGTCTCATATCATTTTAATGTGATGAGACGGTATAAGAAATTATAAGTAATTATTTAACAGTAATTATTTATAGCTTATAAGTAATTATTTAACATGTAACAGAATACCTATTATTATTTTGACGACCTCCGTAGCCGAGTGGTTCGCACGCCGGTTTCAAGGTGTCGCCATCTCTGAGGTCCCGGGTTCGATTCTCGGTCGGGTCAATGTAGAAAAATGAACTTTTCTATATTGACTCGGGTCTGGGTGTTGTGGTACCTTCGTTGTCTCAGATATTCCATAATACGGGGGCTTTAGCTACTCATCTTGGAATCTGAGCAATGTATGTGATGTTGTTGAATATTTATTTATTATAATACTAGGAGATGATATGAGCCGACTTTTATTTATATTTTGTAGGTAGTTTAGGATTACTTAAGATCTTTGTAGTTAGGTACCGACTTTGTTTGATTATAAAGTTTATTGCTTGTGTTTATTCCTTGCGAGTTCGAGATGCTCAAGTTTGCGCTAAGGCTTTAAATGATATATCTGAATTGTTAAAATCAAATTCATCTGCTGATTTACCTTCATTCACTGCTTCTACTAGCCAGAGTCAAGAAACTACGTCAGCTATAGAGAAAAATAATATCTGGAAGTTTCATAACGAGTTGGTATCTCAGTCGTCTCAATGTGAACCCAGAGAAGGCATGGATGATATTTTGAAACAATATATGAGAGAACCTCTTAAAAGAAAACCCTGTATTATAATGGGCAGCAAGAAATAATATTTGGCCTGATCTCAGTGTTTTGGCGCTGCGTTATTTATCTGTTGTGGCTATTTCTGTTCCCTCCGAATGTTTATTTTCTTTAGCTGGATCCACACTTTCAGAAACCCGTAATCGATTAGATCCAAAACGCCTTTCTAGACTGCTATTTTTACGCAGCTTAAGTGCAGAGCAATGGCAACTGCAGAAGCAATGGCAGAGCAATGGCAAGCTTAAGTGCAGAGCAAATAATAAAAAGTTTTTATTTAGAGTTCTGCAATAATTTGCAAAGTTTGTTTTTGTTATGCTAATAATTATGGTTAGAGTTTGACTTTGTCACTAAAAAGCGAAATACTTATCTCATTTTATATAAAATATCGTAAGTATCGTTACAAAAGGATACAATAATATCGTGTATCGATACGTACACATGCGATACATTACGATACGATATATCGATACAAATTTTATTTTTGGGCATCCCTACCTATAATTGGTCGTCGTCACACACAACCAATCACGATTCTGTTTATAAACGTATTGTGTAGAAAAGAAGCGCGGGAAACGTTGAAATTGTTAGGCGTGTTTTTTTTAGTGGCGTAAAATAATTAAAATTAATTATTAAGTTAGTCCATTAGAAGGGTATTTTTGTGTATTTACATATATATATTTGTGTATATATTAGAATTAGTGCTTAGCTGCAGATATTAGGTAAGTTTTTTTTAATTATTTTTATGAGCGAGCCCCCCGACGACTCGGGGGGATTCGTCCCCCCGGCAGATGGCTATGTTACGGTTTGTTCCGAGTCAGGGATGGATACGGATGCATCTACATCGAATAGATCCACTTTAAAAAGGAGCCGTCGCTCCAATGTATGCAAAACTTGTAACAAAAAAAGAAGGCGGCATCACGGTTCTGAACCGAAACCAACAGATTGTTCTTGCACTGAAATTTCATCTGGTAACAATAATACTTTTCTAGACCTTGCTCCACCACCCACATCTGTAACTAATTTATCAACTCCTATCGGTAGGAAAGCTTATTGCGAGTCAGATGTTTCACCTTTTATATTGCATGTACAAAAACTAGTATTATCAGCAGATGACAAGACATCAATTCATCCAGTTAAGTTCGGCAATTTTTAAAAAAATAATAAATTCCCAAACATTATCAGTGTTAACAAAATTGGCAGTAATAAAATTTCAATTAGCTTTACTAATTTTAATGATGCAAACTCTTTTCTTAATGATAAAGCTCTTCAAGTAAATAATTACCGAGCATATATACCAACTTTTAATGTCACCAGAATGGGGTTAGTAAGAGGTGTTCCAGCTGAATGGTCACCTGAAGAGGTCATGGCTAATATTTCAGTACCTATAGGATGTGGGGCTATAATGAAAGTCAGACGCATGAACTTCAAAACTTTTATTGATGGGAGCCCAACATGGAACCTTTACAAACTGTAATTATTATTTTTGATGGACAGATACTTCCTAAGAGAGTGTACTTGTGCTATAATGCATTAAATGTTGACTTATATATATACCCTACAATACAGTGCTATCATTGCTGTCAGTTTGGTCACACAAAGGTACAATGTAGATCTAAGCCCTGTTATGTTACAAATGTGGCAAGGACCACACTGGGGAATCTTGTGGTACGGTTGAAGAGGATGCCTGTTGCTGTTTGTGTTCTGGCTTTCATTATGCCACTAGCAAAGTATGTCCAGAATTTATGAGGCAAAAACAAATTAAAACATTTATGGCTCAAAACTGTGTGTCTTATGCTGAGGCTTCCAAAGCTCACCCTCCAGTAACTAAATCATATGCAGACATAGTAGCTTCTAAGCCTCTTCCTCAATCTCCTTTGTATGATAATATTCACACATCTCAAAATAGTAGATCTTCCACTACATCCTATAAGAAAACAGTCTTTTTAAACCCTCGTAATATAAATAATACCAATATGGGTTACAATAAAGAAGCACATAATGCTATCATAAATGACTTTAGAATCCCTACACCTGCTAATGGATGTGCTATACAAAAACCTCAAGATCAAGAAAATCAATCTCATATTGAGTTAATAACAGCTTTATTTAATATATTAGCTAAATATAACTTTATTTCACCGTCCAACATTGCCTCTTTGTTTGAAAATTTAATGTTAACAATTAATAATGGAACTACACAATATAATACAGTGGAACACTCAGAGTATCATAAATAAAACAAGTGAACTTATATATTTGACCAACAAATACAAGCCATTTGTTTTTGCTTTGTCAGAGACTTGGCTTAAACCACAAAAAAACTTTTATTTTGCTGGTTACAACATAGTTAGAGATGATAGACTAGGTACAGATGGTGGTGGAACAGCTATACTTATTAGAAATACAATTCCCTTTTTAAGTGTAACTCTTCCACCTCACTCTGATGATATTTCAATTGTAGCTGTAAGTTTTAATAATGTTTGTTTTGTATCACTGTACATAGCTCACCCTTCACCTTATATTTTAAGTGAACTCAATTTTTTGTTTTCTAATCTGCCCAAACCATTTTTAGTACTTGGTGATTTTAATTGTCACCACACAGTCTGGGGAAGTTTTCAGTGTAATACTCTGGGACGAGAATTAGTAGATATTATTGACTTGCACAATTTATGTTTACTTAACACAGGCAGTCCCACACGTCGAACTGGACCAAATCAAAATCCTAGTGCTGTTGATTAATCTATTTGTGCTCCAAGCCTGGCCTCTTCTCTATCTTGGGAAACTCTTCCATATACTTATGGTAGTGACCATTATCCAATAATTATTGAATTCCCTTGTAAGGAACAAATAATACCACAAAAGATATCCCTTAGAAAATATAAATGTACTAAAAACAATAAGGTTTAGGATTCCTTCAAAGAAAAGATTGAGGCTAAGCTATGTCTTCTACCTTCTGTTCTTCTTCTTTCTTCTTCTTCCAACGGGCGTCTCCGCAACTCGACGTCAAGATTGCGCCTGTTTTGCGTATGGAGGGTGTGTGGCTGGATACTACTCCAGCCAACCCAGCTCTGCCAGAAACGCTCCTAGCGCCTTCACATTTGCGATGGCCTCCTGGAGGTTACCCGGCGAGCCGAGGTGCTTTGCCCGGTAGCTGGCCACTCCGTTGCATTCCAGCAAGACGTGAGCGGCTGTTTCTTCTTCCCTCATGCATCCTCTGCACAAGGGGCTGTCAGTGACACCTAGATTAAAAAGGTGCCTGTTAAAATTGCCATGACCAGTGATAGCGCCTGTTACCAGGCGCAATATTGGTTTACTTAGCTGTAGGAGGGCCTTGGAGAGACGAGCGTTTACTCGGGGTAGTGCGAGTTTTGCCTGCCTGCAGGTCTCCAGGGTGTGCCAGTATTGTTGGTGTAGTTTACTTGAGTGGTCTCGTATCTTACCAATTAACCAGCTTGCGGGGATAGGGATTATCGGCTCGGGGCCCATTGGTGGTGCGTCTGATCCCCTGCGTGCCAGTTCATCAGCTGCATCGTTCCCACGTGATCCACTGTGTCCTTTTATCCATTGGATAGTAATTGTGTTCTGTGACCCTACCATGTTTAGAACCTGGTGACACTCATATAGAAGACTCGATCTGACAGAGCTGCCTTTGAGAGCTTGTAAAACGGATTTGCTGTCCGAGTAGATCCGGATTATTGATCCTGTTACCTTCCTTGTTGCTATCGCTCTCGCTGCCATGGTAATCGCCATACACTCAGCCTGAAAGACTGTGTTGTATGTGCTGAGAGGCAGGATGAGGTGTATGTTGAGGTCCTCGGAGAATACTCCGGCTCCTGTTCCTGATGCGGTTTTGGAGCCATCCGTGAAGACTGTGAGGGCCTTGTGAGTTACCT